GATAAATTATATGCTAAGCTAAAAAAATAGTTTTTATATATTCATGTATATATTACCCACTGAATATTTCTATCACATAAAATACGAAATATATATATATATATATATATATATATATATTTGATATTATATTGCATAAATACTCAGTTATTGTCTTGAATCAATTATAACAATCGCATAGTGTTGTAGATATTCATGGACTCTTTCAAATCATCCCTCCAAAAAATCAGGAATTTTCATAAACAATTTCTCTGTCCAGCTGGTTATAGATAAGATTAAAACCAATGTCATCATCACCAGATATTCGGTCTACATTCAGAAATCGATTTTCACGCATCAATTAATCATTTTTTCCCACCATATATTTGGTGTTCATGGAGTATTAACTTGAAGCAAAAAGTGTACCGTAACAAGAAAAATGAAAAAATCAGAAAGTTGTTTATGGGTGACATGTCCTATTATAATCGGTGTTGGCCCTTACGGTTTAACCACTGCTGCTTGTTTAAAACGGAAAGGTATCCCCAGCTTAATCCTCGAAAGGGCTGATTGCATAGCTTCGTTGTGGAAGCTGAAAACCTATGACCGTCTTTGCCTTCATCTTCCAAAATGATTTTGTGACCTGCCTTTTCTGAAGTTCCCTGCTGACTACCCTATTGACCCAACAAGAAATCAGTTCTTGGATTATTTAGAGTCCTATGAAAACCATTTTGATTTAGACTCGGTTTTTAATAAAATGTAGTGAGTGCAGAATTTGATCATCGATATGGGGTTTGGCGAGTCATCACCTCGGGGCTGAAACATGAACAAATTGAGTATGTGTCGCAGTGGCTCATTGTGGCCACGAATGCTGATGAAGTAATGCCGTTTATCGAAGGAATGGATGATTTCGATGGGCCTATACTTCACACGAGCTCCTAGAAAAACGGGAGATCGTATGGAGGAAAGGAAGTTTTGATGGTTGGCTGTGGGAATTCCAGCATGGAAGTTGCTTTGAATCTTGTCAACTTCAATGCTCGCACATCACTAGTCGTTCGAGACTCGGTAACCATTGCTTCTTTCTTTCTTTCTTCTCATAATCATATATTGTTTAGCCCTTTTTTAATCGACATTTTTTGATGACATGGTTGCAGGTGCACGTCTTGCCTCGTGAAATGCTAGGAATATCAACATTTGGATTGCTCATGTGGATGCTCAAGTGGCTCCCCGTTCGCATAGTTGATCGGTTTTTGCTCCTAGTGTCGCATTTCGTGCTTGGCGTCGTCCCAAAATTGGTCCCCTAGAACTCAAGAGCATATCCGGCAAGACACCTGTTTTGGATGTTGGGACAGTAGCAAAGATCAAGAGTGGAAACATTAAGGTGTTGTATTCAAATCTTTGATATAATGTGTGTTGTTAATTGAACTAAATTCGGCTTATATAAACGTATTAGGTTTACCCGGGAATAAGAAGAATAGCGTGTCTTGGGGCGGAGTTTGTGGACGGAAGAAAGGAGAGGTTTGATGTCATCATTCTCGCCACTGGCTACAAAAGCAATGTACCCCAATGCTTGAAGGGAACACACTTATTTTCAGAAAAAAGATGGGATGCCACGGGAGCCATTTCCCAAGGGATGGAAAGGAGAAGATGGGCTATATGCTGTAGGCTTTACAAGGCGTGGCTTGCTCGGTGCCTCATTCGATGCTCAAAGGGTAGCTGAAGATATTGAGCTTCACTGGAGGGCTGAGGCCCCCAACTTCGTGGACTTCATCACTGTACTGTCTCTATGATCATCATCATTTCACTTCCCATTCACTCATCTTACTATGATTAAGCCAAATAATTTGTTGATTTCTTAGTCTCAAAATCTTGTAAATATTTCCATTTTTCAATATTCAAAGCAAAATTGCTACTTTCTTCTTCCTTCTCCTTGTTTAGACTTGTTTACCAGTTTTTATACTAAAACTCAGATTCAACCTCATTTAAGCTCATTCTTATTCAATAATGGTATATATATAATTTATTAATATGAAAATATAAGAACTCCTAAAACTCTCACGCGCATTTCAGTCTGCAACATCTTGCTTAACCCACACCATCGCCTACTTTGTGCCCTTTATTCTCCAGCACCTTTCTTCTTCTGGTGCCACTGGATTGTATGTTTGAGAAGTGGATTTTCTCATTAAAGTACAGAGGAATCTACCATTTGGTGATCATGATAAAGATTGGAGAAAACCAAAATGCAGTTGGTAATATGGTGGATTATAGAGACTCCATGCCTTGTAATGATGGGGTGAAATAACATACGGTTGATATTGTGTATGGAACGACACGTAGTAGAGATGGGGGGGGGGGGTTGATACCGCTAAAAGGGCTGTTGTTGGATTTGAAGGAGATGCAGAATTTGAGCCACGAAATGGCCTCGAACTTGAGTCACATGAGGCTGCATATGCATTTTATCAGGAATATGCCAAGTCCATGGGATTTACTACCTCAATTGAAAACAGCAGGCGTTCAAAGATATCTAAGGAATTTATTGATGCTAAATTTTCATGTTCCAGATATGGAGTCACTCCTGAATCAGATGTTGGTAGCAGTAGAAGATCTAGTGTGAAAAAAACAGACTTCAAAGCCAGCATGCATGTGAAAAGAAGGCCGGATGGGAAGAGGATTACTCATGAATTTATAAAGGAGCATAATCCTGAACTTTTACCAAAAAAATTAATATGAAAATATATATTGAATTTGAAGGACTTAATTAGGCTCGTGAGCCATTCAAGTCGGACATGTTAGGGCTTAAATTCGAGTTAAGCTGTTTGAGTTTAGTTTAATGATTATCAAATCAAGTTTAATTCTTGTTGGATTAAACCGGAAATAGATGTCTTATTTACATCTCTGGGGCAATAATAGCTTGAATGCTAAAAGATTTTGCAGGTTCAAGAAGATTATTAAAGTGATTTTATTTTTGATGGGTTAAAGATCATATCAATTACGGTTATGATTCGATGACTAGTGATTAAAATAAGACATTAATTTAACAACGGTAAATCTTTTTTCGATTACTAAAATAAAATCATTCTAAAATGTGAAAGACCAATCAGATAATTCATCAAAGTTAAAATAATTTAAAGCATGGCTGGCTGGATGGTAAGCACTAGGGACTAGGGGGTGCTTCGTGTTCGCTTTAGCATCTCTAGCTACCCTCCGAAATGCACGTAACCACCAAACCCTAAACTTAAATTGTACTATGATTTGTTTTTTTATATTATATTTTAAAATTGTGAATATAATTACAATATTGTAGTGATCTTTAAAATTATTATAATACGACTTTAAATGGTAAATGTATTATAAAGATGAGTTGGCAGAACCATGTCCATCATCGTTATGGGGCTCTGTACATTGAAAGCATCATCTTTAGGTGCCACCACATCCTTTCTCACGGAAGGCACCATATCCTTCTTGTCATATCAAGGCGTAGGTTGGTATGGTGTTTTGATTACCCAACAAAGGATAAGCATGGTGTTCGGAAGTGTGAATGCCTATTACTGTTATGTTAAGTGTCATAATAATGAGATTTGCTTATTAGTAGTGGCAACTTGGTAGTTAGGGAGTGGAAGAACTAAAACTGTTCAATTTTCAATTCTAACTTCATATTTTCTTCCTTTTTATTTTAAAGTAGTTTGCATCATAAAACACAATTTATAAAATATGTGATTTGCTATGATTTTATTCTATAGGGACAAACTTATAAAATCTTAGAAGGGAGCAAATTTATAAAATTCTAGGAGATGGAAACATATTATCAATAAAAATACATAGAGGGGAGCAAATTTATAAAATTATAAGAGATGAAAACATATTATCAATAAAAATACACATAGAGAATCTAAAATATAGGCAAATTTAAAAATTTTAGGGGGTCGATTGCCCTCGCCCGCTCTGCCTCAGTCTATCCTTGATGGTGTAATAGTTGTTCAATTACATAAAATAGAGTCATTTCATATTTTAAAAACGACGGAGTTAATATTAAATATTAGAAAAATTAATTATTTAAATACGAAAATAACAGAAATCTATATGTATTTAATCTAAAGAATAGGAGAAAAAAAATTTAATTTAACCTAAAATCAAATTGATAAAGATTTAAGATTTCATTAAATGAAAAATGTTTATAGTGGAGGACTGATGAATCATTGCAAATTCTAGGAATGGGACTTAACCAAACCAACCTAATATATGAGTGAGATTTAACCTAACCGACCAACCCAATAATAATAATAATTTATTATTGAAATTACTAATTTTTGTACTGTTTTAAATTAAATTTTACAATTAAATCAACAGTTTTGATAAAAGTTGATTATTACAAACAGGGGATTAAATATATAGATTAATAATTGAATGGACTAAATTCACACACATAATGAATTTAAACTTAAACTTTAAAATTCTCAAAAATAATTTCTCATCGCTAAACCAAGACTTCATCAGTCAGTCCACCAAGGATATTAAATCAAATAACTAATTTGAATCATTCCCATAGTAAAGAGACTATATTGATCTATTAAGCATTAGATAGACTAAATTGAATCGGTTCCTATCATAGAGGGACCCGACACATACTTTCACCAAGGATTTTCATATTTTCATACTGATACTGATAATATTATAAAAGTAAAGTAACTAATTTTTGCTAAATTATAGATATTAAATCTTATTTTTTTTAGTGGTAAAGGGACTAAAATCGTAATTAGAACAAGTAAGCCAATTCTTCCTCAATGGTCACGACCTACCCCACTTACCGCCTTCTCCGCACCAAATTGGAAACGGTTTAGTTCCCACAAACTATCCTCAATTTTTTTTTTAAAATTTTAAATGTTCGATCGACCGGAAAATTGGATGGAGACTTGAAGGCTATAAGTGTAAATTTGCATAATATCCTTTTGATAACAGTGGACCTGTTAGTTTGTTTGAAAATGAAAAAAGTGGCTTAGAAAACGGCACTGAAGAAGCTTAGCCAAAGTGCATTTTCCCCTCTTCTCCTTTAATGGCAGATCTTGTATTTCCTTTATCTACATTTTGAATTCAAGGAGACGTTTTGATTTGTTTTGAGTCGTAAACCAGTGATCTAAGATGCTGGGCGGAATCTTAGGCCGTGGTTTTGCCTCAAGATGGTTTTTTACTTTCTCTCGAAATTAATTTATCGCGTTTTTTTTTGTTTAGATAATTGAATTGATTTGAAAAATTTTATTTCGTGCAGTAAATCATTGATTAAAGTGATAAAGAGTCGGATTGATGTGATACGGAGGAAACGTAGTGCGACGCTTAAGTTTTTGAAGAAAGATATAGCTGATCTGCTCGCTAATGGCCTTGATATTAATGCTTTCGGCAGGGTGGTTCTTTTATATAATTTGCATATTTTTCCGCAGACTTGTTGGAATATGTGAATTTTTCATGCTTTTGTTTGACTGATCAATTAATTTTATGGGCATTAAAAATGAATTCTGTTTTGATTTTCCGAGTGATGCTGAAAACAGGTGGAAGGATATATAGCTGAATTGCTCCTTTCGTCTTGCTATGATTTTATTGAGAAATGTTGCGATTTCGTGTCGAAGCATGCTTCCGTCATGGAAAAGCTGAGGTATGAGTGGCTGTTTTATTTGTTTCTCTTTAACAATGGTAGCTTGAATTGTGTTCTGCTCTCTTTATGATAGCCACTGGCTACGAATGGTAAGCTTTTCTATCGGAATATTTCTGTGAAAATATCCGCTGTAAAGGGTGTTTTTGAGTTCTGAAAACGAGTGATTCTAAAATTAACAGTTCTCTTTTGGATAATGTCATCTCTTGTGCTATCCGTTGACAATAGCATTAAGCTTACGTGCTGAAAAGTGTTGCTGTGAGCCATATTCTGTTTTTGTCTCTGATGACATCATCTTCTCTGGACTTCAATTGATACTTTTAGCTACATGCAGGGTTTTGTTGTGACTCTTCTTTGTGTAGCACTTCCTGTTTTCCACCTTGTATGGTATCAAGAGACTGTTTCATTTTTATGCTAAGTTTGATTTTAGGTCAACTGGAGTTACACATTTTCTGTTGCTTATGGTAAAGGAAAACTGAGGTTTGAAAGCACTTGTATGTCAAAAAGGGTGGCTTATTGAAGGATAAGAATTGAGTACAGTATCTCAGATTGGAATTTCTGAGAAGTTTTTCTGTCGTTCCAGTTGCCAGTATGTTATTTAAGTAATTTTATTTTTGTAAAGGTGCAAAGAAATGTCTGCTAAAGAAAAGATTGGAATTTCTCTTACTTTGATGATTTTATTTTATTAGAATTGAATAAAGTATCTCAGAGAGTTTGTTGTTCTGGATCTGGAAAAGATTCTCAATCTTGTATTCCTGAAGTTTTTTGGATGGTAGACTGCTATGTACTGTATGGATTTAGATTTTGGTATTTCCACAGGTCAATAAGATAATGTTTTACTTTTATCATCTAATTATATTTATGAAATTCAATTTTTGCTAGTAGGGTAGGATTTCATGGGCATTTTAGCCAATAGTATCTTGGAACTATGCTTCACTGATAAATGTTTTTACTTTTTACCGTTCGAGGAAGCATAAGATGGATTATAGTTTTCTGATTATATGTTCCTTTTCTTGATATGAGACAATTGCGAACTTCTTTATTGTTTGTTTTCTTCAATTTATCATTAATAAGCAGATGAAAACACAGTTTCTTATTCTCGTTATAAATGCAACAGTGATTGCCCAGAAGATTGCAGGGAGGCTGTCTCATCTCTGATGTTTGCGGCGGCTAGATTTTCTGATTTGCCAGAGTTGCGTGATCTTAGGCAAATATTTCATGAACGATATGAAAATTCCCTGGACTTATTCGTGAATAAACAGGTAAATTTGTAATTAGGAACCAATTAAAATGGAGAATATTTATGGTTCCATCATCGCATTTCCATGATCAGTGTCGCCAATTTTCATGGTAGCTTGTTGAAAATTCAACTTCAAATCCTTCCACAATGGAGAGGAAAGTAAAGGTGATGAATGATATAGTGTCGGAATTTTCCATAAAATGGGACTCCAAAGCTTTTGAGCGAAGAATGTCGAAACCTCCACCGGTCCCACAGGTATGCTTGTGTTTAAAATTTACTTTCTTTTAATATTCTGGTTGATTTTTAGCCTGATAATTTCTTCATACTGAAACTATTTTGATCTCTAGGACCAACCTAAAAATTACGGGTCTTTTCATGTCAATGGTGGTAATAGTAAGTCAAATGTATCAAAAAGGGATGAAATGATCTTTCTGCCCAAATCGGAATTCCTTGTTGAGGACAAACCATGTCATGCCAGGGTGGAAGCTTTCGAAAAAGAGGAGAATGTTGATGTTCGGTTACGGCAAAAACAAGAAGTTTCTGCTGGTAAGCCTGGATTTTGGAATGGGAAGGATGTTGTTGTCTTGAAAACAGCGAGATTAAGTAGTTCTAGTGGGAAAAGAATGGGAAGAGTAAATGGTGAAACCAAGATACAAGATGATAGGGAGAATCATGTGCGTAGAATAGATAACAAAGATGTTCTAACACAGAGAAAGCCGGATCTAAATCCTAGTAACCATGCAGCATCACGGCTAAAGAGTCATGATAAAGATCTGTTCATTCCTGATAGTTATGCTGATGTGTACAGTGTCGAAAATTCAACTAGAAAAACACATGAGGAAGGTGAATCCAAGCGGATGCCCCACTCTAAGAGTGGCATTCCTCCTTATGTTAAGGCGCCCGGTATCAAATCAAAGGACAGTCGGCATGGTGCTAATATCGGATCGTCACTTGCTGGTTCGGACAGCAATGGAGTTTCTAGTGATCTTTCAATAACTGATAAGGAGGGGAAGACAATTCCACCTATGAGAGGTCATGATAGAGACACAGATTATTACTATAGTCGTGAGGGAAGTGATACCCCTATCCCAAGACGCAGGTCATCCCATAGGCGACATTTGAAATCAGCATCTAGTCATACTGAAATTGGTGATGCTGATGATACAGAAGTTGCAAGGAGAAAACCAAGAAGCAGGAGAAGGGATGACTCGAGACTAGGCCTGCAAATCTTATTTGATGATGAGCGGTGTAGAGATGAGGAGGAAATGATAATCGATAGGCTGTTGATGCATTACAGTAAGAAACAATCATCCTATGAGGACGGTCAACTAAGAAGAAAATCTAATAGTCGTCATGCACATTATATGAGAAGTGATGTAGGTCAAGTCCCACAAAAATCAAGCAGGGATAGATCGGATGATATCTCCGAGACCATTCCTCGTCCAGTCCGATCAATTTCTCTTCCTCGTGTGCAAACAGCTCAATCAGAAGGAATTAAAGTGTATACCCGTGCTACTTCCTTCCAGCCAGATAGGTCAAATGCAGCCCGACACGTGCACCCTAAGTTACCAGATTATGATGATTTGGCCGCTCACTTTGCAGCAATGAAAGGTAAGTAGTTCTTTAAGCCTACTTATACGATATTTTTTACGCATCAATCTTAAGAACTTGTAGCATTCCCTCAGCTGAGTTAGTGAGGGACTGTCTTTTTGGTAAACCTTGAGCTATACATTGATAGGACAGGTATTGCCTATTGTTTAGTGGTTTGAATGTACCTATTTTACGTGTTTATAGCACTCGTAGTACTACTATTTATATGACAGATGACCTTAACAGGAATTTATAAGCTTGATGATTCATTTTTTTGGATGACATGATTGTAGAAGGTGTAAAATCCATGCATACAAATTTCTGTATTAGTGGTCAGTAATTTGAGTACCTGCTATTTTTGAAATCTCTGCGTTTACACCCGGTTTTGATCCAACCGGACAAGAAAAATTTGGATGCCGGCATCAGCTCAAATACTCACGGCTGCCACCTCCATCGTTAGCACCACCACCATTAGCATCCCCACCAATACAGTTACTCCCTTTTCTCCTCAGGATAACCAAAACCAATCAATCAGTCCCCTTACTAGTGCCTATTCACAAGGAGTCCTTCATGCACCAAGCAACTTCGTACTCCCTTGCAAATAAAACAATATTCATACCAAGGATGCCGGCACCGGCAAGCTCGAGACTGTTTTGGGACTCTGCGTATGATGATGGTGTCTGTGTTAATTGTTTGAACTAGAGGATCAAATTATGTCAAATTAAAATATTGACTCAATCTCGAATACGAGCATATCAGAGGGAACAAAACCATAAGTTGACTAAAAAGGAAAAAATAAAATAAAATTCTCTGTTTATTTATTTGGAGTTCCATGATAATCTCTAAAACAAAATGAATGCATTTGAAACTGGCAATGAAGCTGTGGCGTTTGATCGGCGTACATACTGAATGCAGATATTTTTTTTATAAGAAACTGAATGCAGATATTCATGACATTAATCTTTCAATGACCTGCAAAAAACAATTGTCAATTATTAATCGAGAAAACCTCAAGCATGGCTGGTTTATATCAACAGGCAGATCATGTGAGCTATGAAACCATGTCCCGAGATCGGTTCAGACAAAGAACAATTCATTGGAACTCATAACTAACATTTCATATCACGAGGAGCAACAAAAGATACTTCTTCCGCTTCCTTGAGGCCTGTTATGCAATCTCATTCCGGTTGGCCTAGAAGGAGTAGCTCTCGCCAATCTCTTTGCTGCGAGATAGTATGCAAGTGTAAGAAGGAAGGTCAGAGGGTAATGATCTTCTCATTGCATCACAGAAGAAGGTGAACGTCATATTAAACACGGTATTACCGATTTCATAGAAGAGGTAGTTGACGTTATGTGTGGTCTTTGCTGATGTTTCGAGGAATGTCAAGCCATTTTCTTTGGCATATAGCTCACCTTCCTGCATAAAATTTAGAAGTTATTCAGCTTTTCAGTTGGACTGTTTCCCCTGTCCCCAGAAAAAGAAAAAGAAGATAGGAGAAAGTATCAGATTGCAGATACCTCAGTTCCCACTTTTCTCTTTTCTTCCAAGTCAACCTTGTTTGCTACCAAGAACATTATCAAATTTGGATTTCCTGAACCGGCATAATACGAATCAAACAACGTATCACAAAAGACAAAACATGCTTGAATCGTTATATCGCTTCATGTATATTATACATTTCTTCAAATGTTCAAATTTCTAGAATAAATGATTTGCAAATGGCAGAAAGACCTCAAATGAACTTCAGTCCTAGAAACAGAACATTTAGACTGCTTGTCAAATTACCTTGTCTCTGCACCTCCCGAGCCCATTTTTTGGCTCGCTCGAACGTGTCTTGAAAGACCGGTCATCGTGCGATCAGATGGACATCCGATTAATAAAGCATGAATACTTGATGGCATCAGTGTTAGAACAGATGGATTTAAAGAGTATGATCAACAAATGTACACTAACCGATCGACATCAACAGACAGTACATAGTACAGCTAGGCTATGGCGAGATCTACAATTATCAATCAGGCAAGTTACCCAGCTTGTGACATCGTAGACTACGACGGCAGCGGCTGCACCGCGATAGTACATAGGAGCCAAGCTATGGTATCTCTCTTGGCCTGCCGTGTCCCATATATCGAACTTCATGGTGGCTTCATTGAGTGAGAAAACCTGAGTGAAGAAAGCTGCCCCAATTGTCGATTCCTACATGAGTTAAACATATTAGATTGATATTATATAAATGCAGAAAAATGAAAGAAAAAAAAAAGGTGAAATGAAAATCAACCAGGAAATCCAGGAATTGGCCTTTAACAAATCTCAGTACCAAGCTCGTTTTCCCAGTTCCCATGTCCCCAAGAAGTACCTGGAAAATGAGGAAAGCAATAAAAAAATAAAGCAGCTCCTCCATTAATCTCCAGTCAAGCTGGTGTTTCTTCAATAAGAAAGCAAAGGGAAAAACATACCCACCAGCTTGGCATGTATGTTCTTATTTCTCGACCTTGCCATGAACGATTTGATCAGAATCCCAAGAAACAAACAGAAAAAAAGCCCAGAGAGCTCTAGAGATTGAAAACTTCAAAAGAGAAACTTTGGGAATTGAAAATTATAAATGGAAACTTTGAAACAAAAAAGCTTATGATTAAAAGAAGAACGAGTAGCTCCAGGAACGTGTTTATAGTTTCCAGGGAAAAATGTCAAACAAAGATTAAGATGAGACTGTTAGTTTTATGTCAGTTGACTGGTAAATTGGTTTATTTTGCTTTTGCTCTCAGTTGTTTTGTTTGTGTGTGTGTGTTTTCTAATACAAATACAAAGAATTTACTAATAATTGTCATCAATGTATTTGCAATCTGTATTCCACGTAGCACTTGTATTCGGTTAAGAGATGGACCGAAGAGTGTTGAGATAGTTTGTATCTCTAAAAATTAATATTCAAACAATTTTATTTAAAAAAAAAAGTTTGATCAATTTAACATTAAATATAATAAGACTCAGCCATATATACACGGAAGGCCTAATATCATCTGCCTGAAGTTTGCCCCTGGAATTACTTTTCTCTTTTCTTTCTTCAATATGTCATCATCCCAGGGGAACATTATCGTCAGCAACTCCCCCAAAAGCAGCAACTCCGAAGCAGCGGCGGCAGCAAATTCACCCAAAGGAGGCCAATGTTTATGCTCACCGACGACTCACCGAGGCTCGTTCCGATGCAGATTTCACAGATCAAGGTCATCAGCTTGGATGATGAAGCGATCAAAATCCGTGCTTACCAATAATACTTCCATGGCTTCTTTTTCTCCCAAGTCTGTGGAATCCACATAAACACCATGTATGTTATGTATGTATGCTTGTATGTACGCTCTCCTCTATGTTCTCATCAGGGATCTGTATCCCCCACTATGTGAAATATATGTATGTATGTAAATCAACCTTGACAGTTCAATGAAAAAAATGACTAGTTTCATGTTAGTTTGATCTTGGCACTGATGAATGATAATGATCCATAGGTGAGTCTAACAAAGCTCGAGTCCATGATCTGATTGAAGGAAGAAAAAGAGGCAACTTTTGATTATAAATTCATTCTCTTTAATAGCCAAAAGCTTCTGTAATCTCTAAAGTTCTATGTTGTTTTCCAAACTACAGCTTAAAGAACAATTCCAGAGAAACTAAAGTTATCTTCTCAACCTCCCTGCTATAGATATTTTTTTAAACCATTCCTCCTTACAAAGAAATGAGAATTTTACTCCTAATGAACATTGATCCCACAAAAGAAAGAATACAATGTAATATTTATTCAAAGAATCCCAACCATTTGACATGAACACTTATATTTCTACATATCTAATGCTCAAACCCGATATATTAAGAAATAATAAGATTTCCTCAATCACTGAGATCGCCTGATTAATGCTTATATTCCACTAAATTAAATAGTGCGATTAAAAAGTTGTATGTCTTGTATTATATATTATAATACTTTCTCATTGGAATATGTCACTTTTTCTATCATTTAAACCAAATTATTGAGATGTACAATGAATGAGCAAACTTTTAATTAAAAGCAAATGCACATGGATTTAGTCATAATGGGATTAATTATTTTAATGAGATACTTATCCATTACTATTATTTCAAAATTTAAAATCTTAATAATTTTGTTTTAAAAATTTTAAGAATGCCAAATTAAAATTTTCATAGAGCTTAAAGAACATTTCGAAGGTCCCCTCATGATCTCATTATCATACGCCTCTCCCTCCAAATCCTTACGACCAAGACGTCATCGTGTTCCCCCATCTACTACCACCGTCCTAATCAAAACGATTGTTGTCTCCACCGTAGCGTCACTGTCGTGGCCATCCACCTCCTCCTCTCTGCTGCCGTATTCTTTAATCTCTACCTTTTTTAATACAATAGTTGTTTTAATTAACTCTGCGTACTAAATGCTTTGTGGATCAACTTCCATTATAGTTGTGTTTCCATGATGTTTCACTTTGCAGTAATCGATGAACAGCGATCCAATCTTTTTATTTTGGCAGATTCATGTATTAAAAGCAGGAAACAGGCTTGGACGCTGCAGCGATGTGATTCCTCTTTGGTTATACTGTAAGTGATCATACTTTAGTCGGCGCACATAACTAGCAGCTGTGAACCCCTACACAGCACAGCAGTTGCAATCACTTGTTGCCGACGAATCGACTACCCCACACGTATTTGGCATGGTGGTGCCTACACCGAATTGAGCCGGGGTGCTTTGTAGGTGAACAAAGGCACTGCTTCAAGGAACCAGCCCCACCGGGGTCTCTCTTGCCAACCCAGTTCTTGGTGCATGAAGTTCAGCAGCCACCTTCGTCGCACTCCAAACTCCGTTTGGCAGCACATTTTAAACTCATCAAGTTCATTACGTCTGTTGATTCGTTTACAAATTTTAATAAGCAACCGACAAAGCATCACAATTGAAGCAAATTAGTCTTCTTCAAATGATCCATTGCACAGCTTGCCAATGGCGTTAGCTCCATTTCTCCGTTGTTTGAGCAAATGAAAGGCAAAAATGATGGAAACTAAAGGAAAATCTGCGTCTCACTTTGCTTGGTCTGCAAGCTTCTAGGGAAGCAGGTTAAAGCTGTCAAAATGAGCTCTCAATATTTTCAAATGGCAGCTTATGAAGATGATGAAAGTTAGCCTTAATTTATCATAAATCTCTAAATGCAAAACCTCTATTAAGACTGGAACGTTCCTCTTCCATAAAGTCATCTCGCCATGCAGGGAGCACAAAATCCCACGTTAATCGCACTTCTTGTTACACGTTGACATGTAATCGTTCTTTATAAAATTAACGATGGCTTCTACTCATCATGAGAATTCCACATCTGACTCTAGACGAAAACATCACACATGGTTATCATTCTACAGCAATCGGAAAATTCCCGGCAAGAGATTCAATTTTCCGGAAACAACAAACAAAACCATGGTCCCAAAACATGAACCTAGATGATCATACAACAGATTCTGATGGATTCCATATCACAAAAGACTGAAAACATAACAAGCCAAGTCATGACAAAGTGACCATCATGGCAAGCATATCCTAACTAAGATCAGGATGAAATCTGGAGGCAAAAAATCCCCCAGAGAAAGAAAGACAGAAAACAGTGCATATTACCATTGTCTCTTTGACACGACCTATCAAAAAAAATGCTAAGAAATAGTGAAAAGTCTCAAAACAAGATTGCGACTCAATTTTACTATCTAGAAACCTAATCTATAACTTAAAATAAGATTTAACCGCAAGATGCATTCCTACCTGTATCACTTACCAAAATAAGCAAGGCATTAGGATCAAACACAACTCTGTTTTCTATTGCCTAGACATATACTCCCTTCTACAAAAGTTATGCACATGTTATCCTCAGGCACTGAGGTCTGGTGACTAGTTATAAAGTCCAGCCTGATCAGCTTAGGTCGAACCAATGACCGGATGCAACCAACTATTGAGCTCTTCAAATTCGTCTTCCCTCTAAAGAAAACCACAACAAAACCATCATACCTACTAACTAGAAGCAACATCAATCTCGACTACCAGGAAAAGAGTATATCAACTACTAATCAAACCAAGGGGAAATCAGTTAAAATATGCTAATAATATATGCTTTTAAGTTTAAAACAAATGCAATGAATCTTTCTTATTTTGGTAAGTCTCTACTCTATAGAGAAACACTATAATACCAAGAATCGAGATAAGATGATGGAGCAATAATTAACAAATAAAAACAGGAGAAACAAATGCAATATTTCCAACATTAAATGGTCTACAATAACGAAAACAATTTGATATGCCAAAACAAAGATACACAAATACACACCAAGAAACCTATTCGCTAAAATTCTCCACGGAATTTTCATTATCGTTGTCCTCATCATTTGTCTCCTCTTCATCATCCTCTTCCTTCAACTTTTCAATCTCTGCTTGTGCCCTCTCCAAAATCTGCTTCTTTTGTACCTCCAATTCCTTCTGAAAATCCATTCTCATCTTCTCCAACTCCTTCATATGCTCCCTCTTACTACTCTCAATCTTCTCATATATCTTACCAAACCGCTGCACCGAATCAGCCAACATCCTCATTGAATGCTCATCGTGTACTTCGGCTTCCACCCTCGACTCTCCACCAGCCTCTTCTCCATCCTCCTCCATCTCTGACTCGGCCGGACTATCCCTCATCTCATCAAAACCGGTGGACCTATCCAAATAAACCTGCGGATTCATAAACACAAACTCCCCGGAATCCACTCCACAAGCCAACCATGATTCTTGTTGCCTAAACGAAGAACCCAACCCCATTAACATCTCCATTTTCCTAAAAAACGGCCATTTACTTGAATTCAACCCCATTTTCGCTGCTTTCGACTTCTCTTTCTTAAACTTCCTCTTCAACCCATCAATCATACGCCTACACTGGGCTTCATTTTTCACACTCTTCAAAGCATCACTAACTTTCTCAGCTACATCAACCCAATCTTCGCCCCTCAAACTCCTCCTCCCCAATTGCAAAAACCTATTCCCCCAAACTTCTAACAGAACATAAATCTCTTGCTGGGACCAATCGTATGCAGTTTTGAAGCTATCTCCAGGGTCGGGTGTGTACTGGAAGCTGGGGACTGAAGTCCGCAGCTTCTGCCGCTTTGGGTACCTTTCAAAACGCTTGCTTTCTTTGACACGACGGTAATATACATCTGGGTCATCGTCGTTATCGTCATCTATGTCGTCGTTTTCATGTTCCATTTCTTCATCATCATCGAGCTCTTCGTCTGGTCCGTAACTGTACACATGACGAGTTCTGGTCGAACGAGGATATTGAGGATGGCGATTAAAAGAGCAAGGTTCAATACCATCCATCGCCCCTTCTATGGTTTCCTTTTTTAGGGTTTTGGTTTTGGGGAGTTTTTTGGTTTGATTGGTTGAAAGGAATTTGAAATTGGCGGTAAGTAAAGAAAGAAAAGCGAGGCTTCGTGGGAAGAACAAATTGAAAATTCTAGGGTTCGGAAGCTTTCGGGAATCAAGAGTGAGGACGAGGGTCGAGTGGAGTAAAGCAACCCGAATTTGGGCATTTCGGATCTGAGTTTGGGCCTTTCTTGGGTTTAAAGAGTTAAGCCTGCATTTCCAAGTTTAACAAGTAAAACAGAGTAAATTTTGCTTTTCATCACTCAACTTTTATCTCAGTCCTATTTTGGTCATTAAATTTAAAAAAATTAACTTAATTATTAAATTTTTTATTTGTTCTTGTTTTACTCACTTTAATGTTAAATAAGATATAAAATAGTGATGTGATATGCTTTTTGTTGTTGACGTGGACTACTTTGCTAATATGATTGCCATATATAGTCAATCTTATTTTTTTATTATTTGTTTATCTTCTCCATCAAAGATGAAACTCTATTCCATAATTTTTAAAATATAGATGTTGAGTTATAACTTACTTAATTATTTAATATTTGAGTAATCAAAACATGATTAATTCAAAAATTTAATGATCAAATTGAAATTTTTTAAAGTTTAGTAAAAAAATAGAAGTGATGTTAAACTTGAATGATCAATTTTATGATTTATCCCAAATTTAAAGTTGAACTCAAAATTTTGACTCCACCTAAACCGATTTAAGCAACCTGTCGTTGATAGAGTCATTATAGGTGTTTAAAACATTGTATTCCCTTGGATAAAATTGTCCGAAAATTTACCTAAGCTTTGTCAAATTATCGTTGCTGTCCACTATTTTGGCACTATTTCAGTACCATTTGATTTCTATATTAATCTCACTCCCTAACTTCTTCTTCTACTCCACACTCTTCCCGTTTCGATCTAATCCGATCTGATTAACTTTTTTCTTTCTTAAGATGGCGAATTCGAGACATATGGTAAATTTTGCTGTCCCAAGAAGATTCATCACTACGTTCAAAAAAGATTGTAAAGAAACATTCTTCCCCGACGATCCCTTTCGTAAGTTCAGACACGATAGACCACTGCAGAAATTCAAGAAGACGGTCCAATACTTCATCCCCGTATTCGAATGGTTGCCTGCCTACAATTTCCGTTTACTTAGATACGATTTGCTCGCCGGCATCACCATTACAACCCTTGCAATCCCTCAAGGGATCAGCTACGCCAAACTGGCTGATCTTCCGCCGATTATCGGCCTGTGTAAGCTTCAACCTCCCTAAAGAAAAAAAAATGTTCTACTTTCGATGATGATGTTTTCATGTGGCAGATTCGAGCTTCGTACCGCCTTTTATTTACGCCCTGTTCGGGAGTTCGAAGAACTTGGCGGTGGGTACGGTGGCGGCATGCTCGTTGCTCCTTCATGAAACCCTTGGAGCAGCAGTTTCGTCAAAAGATGATCCCACGTTGTACCTTCATTTGATTTTCACTTCCACTTTCTTCACCGGGATTTTTCAGACTGCTTTAGGGTTTTCAAGGTCCGTCATGCATGTGATATTACTTATACGTGGAACCTTACGTATAAATATATTAAGGATTATATCTCATATATTAGTAGTGAAAAATATTCTATAAGCGGGATTAGGATGGATAATTGATTTGAACTTAATGGATTTTGACCAGATTCTATAAAGTCGGATTTAAAAAAAAAAATTGGTTTAGGTTGGATTTTTTATAAGAAAAAAGTAAGACCAGATTCGAATTTATGATAAAAAATATTTGACCCGATCCTATCCGATAATAATAATATGATTGATCTTTATATATATTTAAAGATATTTGCTATAATATCCCTCTATATATTTTTCAATTAGATCTCTATTTTACCTAAATAAGAATGAAAATTTTACACACACTATGTATACAGTGTGTGTATATATATTTGTGTTAAGTCGAGTTCATGTTTTTACCTTAGAAGCCGAGTTGAGTTTCGCATCGAGTGAGACTTCCCCCAAGTATGATTATATTGGTGTCATCTATCTTATTTAAGGGTAAAAATTTAAGATTATGAGTTTAGGGTCTAGGATTTGTAGTGTTTAAGATTTATACTTAAGGATTAAGGTCATTCAAATAGGCATATTTAAATAATTTAAATTTTATGTAATCTGTGTATAAAATGATTTCTCTTATATTAATACACGCGAGTACATAAAAAATTGATCATGATTTTTGTTGTTACATATTATAAATTTGTTCAGACTGGGAATATTGGTTGATTTCTTATCACATTCGACCATCACTGGTTTCATGGGAGGGACTGCCATAATAATTTGCCTGCAACAGTTGAAAGGCTTACTTGGTTTAAAACACTTCACCACTGATACCGACGTCGTTTCGGTTATAAAAGCAGTTTTCCGATATAAAGACGAGGTGAATTGGTTTGTAGAATTATGATTTGACGAGCAAATTAACCGTTTAATTATTTATTAATTATGAGCTTAAAATTAGTTGGTTGGATTGTGCAGTGCAAGTGGCAAAGCGTTGTTGCCGGTTTAGTCTTCCTTTGTTTCCTGCAAACGGCTCGATACGTGGTGAGCATTCTTAAATATCTCTTCTAAATAAATCAAACGATCACTCAACAGTATCAATCTTGTTCTGAATTAAAAGAAACTGATTATACGAAATATTACAATATTCTTTGTTACCATGTAGAGGCAACGAAAACCAAAGCTGTTCTGGGTATCAGCTATATCTCCGATGGCAGTTGTTGTGGCCGGTTGCCTTTATGCGTATTTCGGCAAGGGTGAACAACATGGAATCGCAATCGTGAGTTCATTTTGTTCATGTATCGTACATGTCTTACAGATGATATAAATTCATCAAGTGTTAGCTTTTTCTCTCCTTTACTTACATGCATGTATATTTTTAATAACAAAATTTGGTTAAAGGTGGGTGACCTGAAGAAGGGATTGAATCCTATATCAATTCATTATTTGAACTTTGATAGCCGTTATCTTCCGGTAACTATTAGGGCCGGTGTCGTCACTGGCCTTATAGCAATGGTTGTAAGTATTTCTTTTTACTTTTTTATTAAATTTAAAAAATAAAAGTTATATTATCTTTATTTAACCATGATTTTTTTTAACCAGTAAATTGATCCAATTTTTGAAAATGGAACTTACAGGAAGGTATAGCAATAGGACGAAGCTTTGCCATCATTAAAAATGAACAGGTTGATGGCAACAAAGAAATCATAGCCTTTGGGTTCATGAACATAGTCGGATCTTTCACTTCATGTTACTTAACAACCGGTATAAAATTTACTCTCCTTTTCATTGGTTTAAATATATGAAAAGTCTCTGTATTATTTTAAAATTTAAATTTGTGACATTGAGTCCTTAAACTTTTTTATTCTTTTTGTGTTCATAGTTTTTTTTATCAATTTGGTCCTTAAAAAATGTAATCATAGATGACCAAAAATTTATATTTTTCAATCAATGGTACTTTCTTTTATGTATTTTTAAAGATTAAGGGTTAAATTGATATAACTATAAACATAGGGGACTGCAAAATTTGTTTTGCCTTTTCATAGATGTTAGGTTAGGAGTTAATGGTAAAATTGAACAAAAGTTGAAGGAAAATTCCAATTTTTCATATAAAAATAGTATAGGATTCAATGTCACAAAATTAAAGTATAGTGACTAAATTTAGATTTTGAAATAATACAGGGACCTTGACATGTTTAAACCATTTTAGTTTTAGGATAAAGTACACCAAAGGTAGTTGAACTATGTTCAAATGATTGTTTTGATCATTGAACCTTCAAAAGTTACAAGATAATTTTTAAATTTATTGAACTGTTATAAAATGATCATTAATTAATTTATTGAACTATTACAAAATTCAGTTTATCAAAATTTTTAAACTTATCATAATGTCGTAATGATTATTTCGTAATAGTTCCATAAAATTAATAATCATTTTATAATTTTTAAAAATTTAATAATCAAAACAATCATTTGTGAGTATAATTCAATGACCTCTAATATATTTTAACCTTCATTTTATAAAGAGAATTATAGGAAAAATGATGTTGAAAATGAATAAAATATTGCAGGGCCATTCTCAAAAACAGCAGTGAATGTGAGTTCTGGGTGTAAGAGCGCAATGTCGAATGTGGTACAAGGGGCGTGCATGATGTTAACACTATTGTTCTTGGCTCCTGTGTTTAGCTACACCCCTTTGGTAGCCTTAGCCGCCATCATCACGTCCGCCATGCTGGGACTCATCAACTACGAGGAGATGTACCACCTCTTCCAAGTCGATAAATTCGACTTCCTCATCTGCATGGCCGCCTTCTTCGGCGTCAGTTTCAAAAGCATGGATGTCGGCCTCTTGCTTTCGGTAATCTCCTAACTTAATAGTCTCCAATTCCATTACCGGAAAATGTCTATATCATCTATTATAATTTCAGGTGGGATTGTCTTTACTTAGAGCACTCTTATATGTGGCAAGGCCTGCACCTTGTAAGCTGGGTAAACTTCCCGAAACAAGTTTATATCGTGACGCCGAGCAGTATCCGGAGACGACATCGTTGGAAGGAATCCTTGTTATTCAACTCGGTTCCCCCATTTATTTTGCAAACTGCACTTACATAAGAGAAAGGTATATATATATACATACACACATATATTCATTGCAAAATCAACAATATAATTGGGTGAATATTGAGCAGGATTCTAAGGTACATTTACGAAGAAAATGATGCTTCACAAACTGAAGTTGAGCATCTTTTGCTAGATCTGTCAGGTACTTTATGAATACGTTGATTATGATTCATGATAGTTCGCGATTGATTGATAATCTATCCACGTTTTCAACCAACCGAACCCCCTTAGAACATAATCTCACCTATTGACCACCAACAGAATACATAAAGCAGTTATCATCATCATCATCATATATATATATATATATATAGGTTGATCATGGGGGGTTTTGCAGGAGTTTCATCCACTGACATGTCAGGCATTGAAACATTCATTGAGCTAGGTAGAGTATTGAAAGGGAAGAATATCAAGGTAAAAACTTCAAACAGACAATGTTGTTCTTCTTTTTCAAGAGCTATTTATGGATAATGTATGAATTTATGTGTTTGGCAGCTAGGAATAGTGAACCCCAGGATCGAAGTTTTGGAGAAAATGACGTTAGCGAAATTCGTGAATGTCATCGGGAAACAAGCTTTCCACTTGTCGGTGGAAGAAGCGATTCAATATTGTCGATTTACGCTTGATGATACCAGGAAACCAACGGCGGAACCATCCTTTCGTAACGATGATGCTGCTTAAAACAAATGCACACAATCCAACATGTCCACACTCAATTCACAACACCAACCAATGTTGTGCAGTTTCCCACCTTGTTATGGAAGTGATGATCATCATAATAAGAACTATGAATTTTTATTTAGAGTTTGAAATGGGCGTTAAAATGATAGGAAATATAATCATCGTACAATAAAACATACATTGATAAGTTATGTGGATAAATAACGGGTATAGAATAGAATTTTCACTAATATCGAAAATAAGAAAAATACAAAAAGAATTACAACTAGTGCAAAAATAAAGTTAATAAACTTGCTTTCAACCCTGATTTTAAACATTTATTTATAAGAATAGGTAATTGATCATAAAAAAAAAATTGTAAAGCAAGAAATCTACTTAAACCATGGTTATTACTTCTAATCAACGTCTAACATATATAGAAGTATACTCTTATATGGATAATATATATAAGATTCGTACCTACATATAATCTATATAAACTGGATTATTTATAATAAAAAATAAAGTTGTAATAACTGATTTAACTTTTAAATATGTAATTTATTTTATGGAAAGAACAAATAAGCATTAGATAGAGCCCCATAGTTCATACACTCCTTTGCTCTCAAAATATATCCACGATCTCCCGACTGTTGAACCCTCATGAAGCCGTTATTCATTCTCCCTATCACTTCGAAAAGTAAGAAGAAAAGCCTGTGGCTTTGAGTTTAATGCTTTTGAAAAGAAGAAAAGCCTGTGGCTTTGAGTTTAATGCTTTTGAAGCTCAAATCAGGCCATAAAACAGCTCACATTCGAAGGCTTCACTCAAAAATTCTCTTTGGATGCCATCGTGTTTTGCGTTAATCTTCACCTTTTTCCTGAATCTTGGTTTATTAATCTTTTTAATCTCTAGATCTGCGGTAATTTGCTTTCTTTTTTGCTTATAGATTGTGATCTTTAGGTACTGGCTATCTCTGTTGGGTTTTTGTTTTCTTTTTTACTCTCTAGATCTGCTGAAATTTGCTTTCTTTTTTGCTTATGGATTGTGATCTTTAGGTACTGGCTATCTCTGTTTACTCTGTCTACCCTTCTTTTTTCTTCGCTTCTTCGTTTCATTTTCTGATTTAAATTTTTACAAAAAAAAAAAATCAAATTTCTATGATTATATTGATTATCGACAAGCTTGAAGCGATCGCGTATCAAAACCGATATTCGATTCTTGATTCTTGATCTGTATAGTTGTTGTGCCTGTTTTGGAAACCTTTGATTCTGTACAGGAAGGGTTTCGGGCAAACCATCGTCTCTCTCCGATCTGTAACCATAACCGAAAAAGAGCCCTGCAAATCCTCACGGCTGCTCCCAGTTGCGCTTTGCTGGATCGCACACTGCTGCATCGTTTGTTTGTTTCTTTAACTTTTTATAACCGAAAACGAGTCGAGTTTCCAGAGTTAGATTTATTTCTTCTTCATTTTTTGTTTGTTTGTTTCCTTAGTGTAGCAACCAGATCTACATTTTTGGGTTTTGTACGAAACGTAAAATCAAACATCCTTTGCTGGTAACTTTGGCATCTTTTAACAACATTGTTTGGGGAAAATTAACTGTCTTTATTTCTGCTTTATGATATGTAATTTGCTTGTGGCGTTGTTGCTTTCACATGATCTTGTTTAGTTCATGAGGTCATGTCCTTCTTTTATATCCCATAGGACGTATAGGGGGAGGGCTCGATAGAGTGGTGTCAAGGAGACTAGACTTAGAGTTTGTTCGTTGAATGTAGACACCTTAAATGCTAGGTTGCTGGAGCTGACCGATGTACTTAGTAATAGAAAAATAGATTTTGCATGTATTCAGGAGACTAGGTGGAAATGGGCTCGTGCCAGAGAGTGTAATGGGTACAAGTTGTGGTATTCAGGCGTAGATAACGCTAGAAATGGGGTGGGTATCTTAGTATCCTCTAGGCTCAAGGAAAATATAGTTGAAGTGTGTAGATACCAGGATAGGATCATGATGATTAAGGTTATTATAGAAGCGGAAGTGGTGAATGTCCTTTCAGTGTACGCCCACACGTTGGTCTAGGGGAGGGGGAGAAACATTATTTCTGGGATCAGTTAGATGATGTACTTAGGAGCATTCCGGAGGACCAAAGAGTTTTCATAGGGGGAGACTTCAATGGCCATATAGGTAGTGCAACTGACGGGTATGACAGTGTTCATGGGGGTTTCGGTATTAGGAACGAGGAGGGGCGTACGTTGCTTGAATTTGCTACTGCACACGATATGGTGATCACTAACTCATTCTTTAACAAGAGAGATATGAACTTGATTACGTTCTATAACGGGGGACATTGTACCCAAATTGATTACATCCTGGTTTGTAATCGGGATCGATGGGTTTGCATTGACTGTAAGGTATTCCCTGAAAAGGCATGTGCATCACAACACTGATTGTTGGTTTTGGTGCTCCGCGTACGCCACGGGCGGAGCACTCATAGGAGGGCTAAACTTGGTAAACATAGGATCCTTTCGAAGAACTTACATGGAGCGACAACTTATAACTTTAGGAGTAAGGTTTTGTCTAATACAGGTTTTGGAACTACAAACTCAAATAATGCAGATATGTTATGGAAAAATATGGCAAATTACATCAGAGAGGTGGGCAAAAACACCCTTGGGTTGTCGACAGGGAATGTCAAGGAACATAAAGAATCATGGTGGTGGAACGACGAAGTCCAAACAAAGGTGAAGACAAAACAAAACTTGCTTGAAGGAGTTTCTACAATGCAATGACGACGAAGAAAGATCAAGAGCTATACAAAGATACAATGAGGTAAAGCGGGAAGCCAAAAAAAACAGTGGCTAAAGCAAAGGATAAGTCATACGAGGAAATGTACAAGAGATTAGACACCAAGGAATGACAAAACGACATCTTCATGTTTGCAAAATCCAGGGAAAATAGGAAAAAAAGATCTAGGTAACATTAGGTTTATTAAGGACAACAATGGTGTTCTTTTAGTGAAAGACCATGATATTAAGAGGGCTTGGGGTAGTTACTTCTTTGGTTTATTTAATGACGGTGTATCTACCTGTAGACATAATACCGTTGATGGGTCAGCCGACCATCATACTACGGTCAATGACTGTCCTACAAGTAGGATTGGGTTTGAGGAAGTCAAATTGCTCTTAGAAAGATGGGGAGGGACAAAGCGGTCGGTCCAGATCAAATTTTTATCATTGTGTGGTTGGCCCTAGGAGAAGAGGGAGTAAAGTGGTTGACCAATATCTTTAATATTATTTTAGAGACTGTCAAGATTCCAGAGGAGTGGAGAGAGTCTACGGTGATACCAATATATAAGAATAAAGGAGATTCCCAACGTTGTGGCAACTACAGAGGTATTAAACTACTCAGCCACACCATGAAGTTATGGGAAATGTTGAGACAGGTTACTAGGGTTTCGGAAAACCAATTTGGCTTTTTGCCAAGCAGGTTTACTACGGAGGCGATTCATCTACTTCGACGGCTTATGGAGAAATATAGGAACAAAAGTAGAGATCTTCACATGGTTTTCATTGACCTTGAGAAGGCGTATAATAGCGTCCCCCGCGATACGATTTGGAAGACATTGGAAACGAGACAGATCCCAACTGCTTATATCCGGGCGATTCGTGATATGTACAGTAGATCTACTACTTACGTCAGGACTATAGTTGGTGACATCAAGGCATTCCCGGTGGAAATCAGACTCTACCAGGGGTCGGCTCTTAGTCCTTACATCTTCGCCTTGATTATGGACGACATCTTTTGTGCGACACCAAACAATGTTCTATGGTGTATGCTTTTCGCTGACGACATTGTTCTAGTTGCTGAAATAAAAACTGAGTTGAATAGATTGGCTGCCTGGAAGACTGCTTTGGAAGAAAAAGGTCTAAGGATCAATATTGAAAAGACGGAGTATTTATGTTCAAACTTCAGTGGGAACCAAATCGATGAAGATGTAGAAGTATGCATAGAAGGACACATTATCCCCTCAAAAGAATGCTTCAAGTACCTAGGGTCTATGATATATAAAGATGGGGGTGTAGATGATGACGTTACACACCGTATAAAGTCAAGATGGCTAAAGTGAAGGGCTGCTACTGGAGTTTTGTGTGACAAGAAGGTGCCTCTAAAACTTAAGGGAAAAATTTATAGAATGACAATAAGACCAACGCTGCTGTATGAATCAGAATGTTAGGCAATCAAGAAGGATCAGGTAAGGAGGATGGATGCCGCAGAAATGAGAATGCTTCGATGGGCATGTGGTAGGACTCTGTGGGACATGACACCAAACTCTGCTATTAGGATATCCTTGAGGGTGGTGCCTGTATCCGAAAAATTGAGGGAGGGAAGACTACGGTGGTTTGGGCATGTCCTTAGGCGACAACCGTCAGATGCGGTCAGGAGGGTAGAGTCGATTACAATTGACGGTGCCAGAAGGAGATGACGACCAAGGCGGAAGTGGGAAGACTGCTTGAGACCTGATTTGAAGGATTTAGACCTTACCGAGGACATGACCTCTGATAGAAAAGTATGGAGACTTAAAACCAGGGTAGTCGAGTAGTGCGGGTCTCAGACATAGGGTGTAACATCTATGCCTTCCTTTTAATGCCTTTGTAATTAGTTTCATGACTTCTACTTTATATGCGTTTCTGTCATTAGAATTTATGTAGGCTTAGAACTAGGATAACGGAGTACTGTTGCTTTAGTTTAGGTTTTAACCCTTTTGACTTAATTCATTCTCGTAGTTTGCTAACGTTGACTTCTATGTATCATTCTCTTCAGGTTTCATCGTTTTAAATTTAGCCGGATCTTACGTTTCTGTCTATATGCAGAGATTTTTACACAATGATTTATTTGCAAGGATTACTTTCCATTACAGACAAACATTTGAAGACTGCATATGAAGACTGTTCAACTATGTATTTATTTATGTATTTATACATGTATTGCATTTTATCTTTATTTTTAATTTTCTGACTGTCGGAGGTTTTTCACGGAAGTTGCTCTCAATCCTGGCGTTGGGGGCAGCTTATTACCCTACCTCCCCATACCCCAATTGCATATGGGAATAAGGTTTTGTTGTTGTTATTGTTATGTGTAGAGGGGATGTCATGTTCATTAAGCTAAAGTAGAGGAGTGATTAATCCGAGCCGAGCTCCATCAATGATAAGTTTGAATTAGATTTGAGATACAATTAAATTATTTAAATTTAATTATGGTTATCAATTTTTTTATTGAAACTTATTTATTCAAGTTTGTATTTAAGTTTGAATTTAAACTTGAATTATCTTTTGCATGTAAAGTAGACGTATTTATGTAATTTAGTAAAATAAAAATATTTAAAATATGTATTAATGAAAAGCTTGATTAGGCTCGCAAATCGTTTAAGTTAGATATCATAATATTCAAATTTAGATTGATCGATATCTTAAATTTGACTCGATTATTATCATGTCAAAATTATTTTTTTTTTTCAAAATGAACTGAAATAACGTATGAATGACAGTGTATCAGTGACAGAGAGTGGTATATTTAATTCCCTTACTTGACTTAAATTTGAACAATATTATTTATAAGGTCAATATAAATTTATCTACACTAAAAACAGAAAAAATATTAGGAAACTTTAGGGATAGGCATGGGACCCGACCCCGATCCGATCGGATTAATTTTTTTTAAAAAAAATTGGGGTCAGGTAAGGTTTTTTTAAGTGTGATATTCGGGTCGAGTTCGAGTTTAGGGTGAAAAATACCTAACCCGACCCGAAAAAAATATATAATTTTACCTTATAGATTTAAGAATAATTATAATAATACCCTCTATATATAATTTTTTCCCCAATTAAGTCATTGCTTTTATTGAATAAAAATATTTTATTATTATTTCAGATCGAGTCGGGTTGGATTTCTAAATTATATATCGGGTCGAATTCGGATCGGGTGAAACCTTGTTTTGGTCAGATCAAGTCTCAGATTAGAGGCTCTCTTGTTCTCGAATGGAGTCGAGTAGACTAAAAACCCGACCTATACTCATCTCTAGAAAACTCCCATCAAAATATTAAGAATAAATCACGTTACACAAATTTTAGTAACTCTATGCTCTTTTAGCATATGGACCACATAAAAGGAAAATATAATGTTCTTTACGTTCTTTTGGTAATTATGGACCATTCGATTTTGTATGGTGCAAATGAATAATTGATGTGACTGCAAACTGCAAGAAATCAGTATTTAATTTACGAGAATTTGATATATTTTTAAAAAAATTAAACTTTGAATTTAATTTTTTTATAAGGTTATAATTCAAATATATATTGTATATTTAAAAATTTCAAGTAATGGCACAACATGATTTTAGAGTGACAAGTTCTCGGATTAATATAAAAGAATTAAAAAATTTACTAAATTTAGAGAATAAATAGTAGTTTTATTTCTTAAAAATTTAATTACGAAACCGTCTTGTAATCTTGTTTTTAAAAAGAAGTATAAATGCATTAGAAAAATGATCATACATATGGAGTATTACCAGTGTCTCATTAAAAACTCCTTAAACCTAGTCAGAGCAAAAGAGTACCACTGATAATACTGAGACAACAAAACAGTAGACTTAAACAAGCCAGAAAAGGTATAAGAAAACAACCACAAAGCCAAGTTATTAAACCGTAACATACAACTCATCTTGCAGCAGCGAAAGAACAGCATCTGAAGGATTACGTAGATATTGAACATAAAAAATAAAATCAGTGGCCAACTTGGCTAAGGAATCATTCAATCTTATATTTAGCTTCGTTGTTTGATTAATGGACCATTGCTCCTTTATTAAGGTTTTTCTTTTCTTATATCTCTTTCTATCATTTCATCAGCATATATATATATATATATAATTTTCATGTATATAATAATTTGTTTATACAATATTTAAATTATTTACATTATTCTCTAATTATAAATTTAAAGAACGATATATACTTAAATACATTTAAATTTACGATGCCAACCGAACTATGGCTATGAATTATTAAGATAATACCAGGGTGAAAATAAAAGCAGATAGACGTGATTTATTTACGTAATAATGAAAACATGCATGAAAAAATCATTTGAAAAGGAACATATATTAATAGCAAATTAGGGTTTAACGTAAGGAATATAAAGTTTTTTTTATTAAGAAAAGACACTGAGAATTTAACACCACTTATCCAAGTGAGTGGAAAGAATTTGATGCTTTGATGTCATAAATTTAAATTTTGTGGATAGAAAATAAAAATCGAGAATTTAAGGGGTTTTTTTTGGCTGAGAATTTAGTTAGGTTAAAATAAAATCCAAGTCTCGTGAGCTACGACGTAGGAGAACGGGTACATAAAGATCACGGCATGGGAAAAGTTCAAAAGATGAAGATGAAGATGAAGAAAGCAAATGGCAACTCCAAAAGCAATCTCTCACTTTTTGCTTTATAGCAAAAGAATCCCACACAAAAAAATATACTCTTTCTCTTGCATTCTTCCCTGCTTCTTAATTTCCATGTTTGAGAGAGAGCTCTTCTTTGTTGATTCTAGGCTTTGGGTCAATCTAATTTTCAGGTATATAATAACTTCTTCAACTGTAACTTCAGTTCATGTATACATGAACTTCTTCATATGCAACTTCAGTTCATGCATATATATACATGTTTGGAGTTTGTGATTCTGATGTTTATGAAACTCGTACAAATGACAAGGAACAAGTGTTTCAAATTTTGAAAGAACAATATTTAATTTGATTCTTTCTATTGTAATTTTTTCATTCATTTCACACCAATCAGGAGATCAAAGAGAGTAAAGCTTCTGTTTTTAACTTTTTATCATTTTTATTCATATACAGTAAAGCTACCGTTGTTAGAAAACATTACATTAACCCTTGTTCTTAACTGTTCAAATGGTAGAACCGACGCCCAAGAGTCAAAGACTGCTTTCTAGTGAAGAAAATGATTTCAAAGCTTCCTTCACTCATTTGTTAATTAAATTACTCTTCTCCATGCAAAAAAATAATATATATACATATATATTATTGTTCTTTTTTCATCTTTGTGGTGAAATAAATTTCAAATCTTTGCTGTTCGGGTATTGCTTATTTTTTGTGTTCGCAAAAATCCATCAACTTGTGATTAAAGTTGGAAACTTTCCGTGCATTGCACGCAATAAAGTTTTAGATTCTCATTTGTTATGTTATTTTCAGATGATGAGGAATAGTTTCCTCGTGATTTGTTTACCTTACAGTTAATCCCATTAAAATTTTTGACTTTCTTGTAGGCTTTATTATAAACCCAGATACTCTAAAGCCCAAAACCCAATGTTTCTTATAAGCACGATTTTCGATGATTCCACCTTTTGACATTTTGGTAACGGTATCATGGATCCCACTATGACAAAGCATTGATTATGTTAATGTTGCTGTTCTTTTTTTTTTTTTTTTTCTTCAGTGAACTGGAATCTGCTACTGGTTTTTTTTTATTGTCTACTTTCTGGGAACACTGAATCTGTAATGTCATGGAAAGTGGAAGGTGTTGGAGGGTCCAAACTTGAAATGGAGAGTGGTTTACCAAGTGACCACAATGAGGGGCATGGAGTTCCCAAGGATGGTTCCTGGTTTGCCCAGTTCAGGAATGGATCCAACCCTTGGATGGCTAGATATGTCTATGCAGTGATCTTTTTAGCTTCGAATTTGCTGGCTTGGGCCGTCCGAGATTACGGCCGCAACGCCTTCCCGGAAATGGAAAGTAAGATTGATTTTATGTTATTTGCTACTTCAAAGTTCATATCCAATGTAGGAATCACTAGTATCATATGCTTGTTGTGTTTTGAATTTCTGTTTCTGATTATGCTATGGTAGGAAATCTGGGTTATTTTCGACACCGAAATCTATGCTTGGTAACTTGATTACAAGATGATAATAATGTTAATCGGTTTGTTATGTGACAATGTGGATGCAGAACTGAAGAATTGTCAAGGTGGCCGCCATTGCTTGGGCGCCGAAGGCGTCTTACGTGTGAGCTTGGGATGTTTTGTATCCTTCTTCCTTTTTTATTTAGTTCTTCAATTACTTTGCTTGTGTTTTGCATTATTCCTTAACTTTATTCTAGGTTTTCTTTTCTGCAATGTATCTTTCAACTGCTAGCACCCCAAAGATGTACAACTGCAGAGACTTATGGCACTCTGGGTGGTGGTCTGCAAAGATCGCCCTCTGGATTGCCTTGACAGCGACCGCCTTTTTGGTTCCTACTTTTATTGTACAGATATATGGTTCGTGTCCGATTCTCCTGAAATGTCTACTACCATTATATCTTCTTTTAATGATAAATCTTAGGACTTGAGCACAGGTTTTGTTTTGCTCAAAGTGCTAACATGTGCTTCTATGTTGCTTCTTTCGGCAGGGGAGATTGCGCATTTTGGTGCCGGGTACATCATATATTCCTGTTATAAATTCCTCTGTATAAAACATGTACAAGCTTATTGGAACAGTCTGTTAAGGAAGTTTATGATGCTTCCTAAGTTATCGTTAATCAATTCTGTTGTTTAGCGATTTTTCTTCGTATCCTTTTCAGGGTCTTTCTCTTAGTTCAGCTAGTAAGTGTTATCAGTTTCATTACATGGCTGAATGATTGTTGGCAATCTGATAAAATATCAGAAAAATGGTAAGACTCTTCCCTTGTTAGAAGCATTAATGCTGTAATGAAACTGATCAATCAGATACTTTCCAGAGTGAACTGATTCGAACTGTATTACTTTTTCTTCAGTCGCATCCATGTGATGTCACTTGCAACTGCTTCATATGTAATATGCATAGTCGGGATCATCATGATGTACGTCTGGTATGCGCCAGAACCGTCCTGCCTCCTTAATATTTTCTTCATCACATGGACACTGGTACTCATTCAGCTCATGACAAGCGTCTCCCTCCACCCTAAAGTAAGTTCTCGATGCTCCCGGGTTTTCGCTTCTTGAATACTATGGCATGATTAGTAATCAAACGCATGATTTGTGAAACAGGTGAATGCCGGCATCTTGACTCCCGGGCTTATGGGGCTTTATGTTGTATTCATCTGTTGGTGTGCCATTCGAAGGTAAGACTCTAAGCTGGTTTTAGAAATTTCATGGCGCATTGCATTCATTAACTCTTCGTTGTTGCGAACAGCAGTTAATCGGTTAACATCTATGTGTTTGCAGTGAACCGGCTGGGGGAAATTGCATTAGGAAGGCAGAGGAATCAAACAGAACTGATTGGCTCACAATCATAGTAATATTTCAATCTTTTGAAATCCATTAAACCAAGTTCTAGTGAGTAGGTAACTGCTCTTCTAACAGATTGGTTCACCCTTTGTATTCTTTCAGAGCTTTGTCATTGCCCTGCTGGCTATGGTTATTGCTACGTTTTCGACAGGCATCGATTCTCAATGTTTTCAGGTTTGTTCTGCAAAACTCGTGATGTCTTTAGTAGTTCTATTAAGAATGCACCTCACAACGGTTTCAGATCAGGGAAAAGGAAGCACCAGCTGAAGATGCAGTTCCATATGGTTACGGCTTCTTCCACTTTGTTTTTGCCACCGGAGCAATGTACTTCGCGATGCTATTGATCGGCTGGAATACTCATCATACTATTAAAAAGTAAGTCCCCTGCTTTTCCTTTTGATGTGTAGGCTGCAAGCTGATATGGTTTCACACCCTTGCAGATGGACGATCGACGTGGGTTGGACCAGTACTTGGGTCAGGATAGTGAATGAATGGCTAGCCGTCTGTGTTTATCGTAAGTACACACAACCCTGAACCTTAAACTATAAACCCTTTTTCTCTCCGAAGATAAATTAAGATTATTGGATTTATCGTGTGTGTTGCAGTGTGGATGCTGCTGGCTCCTGTGATACGATTGAGGTTTAGACAAACAAGTGAGGCCGCATGAAAAATCAATTGCTCAGCCTTGAATTCATTTACTGCAATTGGCTCCTATGGTCCATTGTTGCATAAATAGCATAGAGTTACACATGCAAAATGTGATTATTTTGTATGCGGTGAGTTCGATCAGATAATACTTCCAGATTTCTATTAAAGAAGTCGGACGATCCCTCAGAATTACGATATTTCGCAATTTTAAACGGAGCGTTTTGCCATATAATAGAACCAAGGGGCGGTGCTTTTCATGCTCTTTCGAGACCAAAAACAGAACCATTTGGCTCCCATGTTTGCTGCTTTCTCTTGAATGCTTCCATGTAAAACAATTTGTAGCTCCAGCTTTGGAGTGTTGCTTGACCGTAAGTCATGTGACTAACACGTGCTTACATGCGTTGCTTGACCGTAAGTCATGTGACTAGCACGTGCTTACATGCTTCACCAATCCACCACTCATTCTACGTTTTTTTTAGTTATTACCTTCCAAATATTCCACCCACTAAAAAGGAACCATTATCACTCACATGGACCAACCAGATCCCATTAATCTGGTAGGAAATACTAAATCTATATATTTTAATTGAGTTCTTAAAGTACTAATATGGTATCAACCAAGTCATTTTATCAGTCCAATAGTCAGTTTTACTGTTAAAACTAACTTGAATATGAATATTACATCAAATATATTTTAAGTACATTAATCAAATTTTAAACATGAATGTTCATACATCAAAATACATGAATAAAATGATACTTATAAATTAGATTACCTCAAAAAAATTTCACTCGATTCCATTAGGTTGAATATGCACTCCTACCTGTGGTCAGGGGTCAAACCAATATCCTGGCTATAAATATTTCTTAGAGATGATGGCGTGGCCATGCGCTTCTCCTTAGCAATCTCTTGCCTTACTTCCAAAGCCAATTGCACATGAAATTTGCTTTTGTCCTTCATGTGAACGCTTGGTGTTTTAAGTAGCTCACCACATGACAAATGCGTCTGTTTGGCGGTGTCTTTTCTAGTTTTCTTCTTTAATAATATAGCTTCATTAGGTTAATAGGTTTCAGTAGTATAGCTTTTGCTTTTCCCAATAAACTTTGACCTTTAGCTTCCTCCACTGTCTCCCTACATATATTATTTTAACTAGATTTTGGTGTACGCATTTGAGTTACCCAAGTGAGTGAAAAAAGCAATGGGAAAACTCAGTTTTGGCAAGATGCTAGATTGTTTGTATCTGTCTTCAATCTCAGGCTCATCGTGCTCTTGTTTTTGCATGAACACTTTGGATGATCATGATGACGAGTTTGACAAGAAGCCAATGATAACATCTGAGAAAACCCAGTTGGTGAGATTGAAGGATGTTGTTTCTGGCAATCAGACCTTGGCCTTTCAACTTGAGCCTAAGGTAAGGGTTTCTTTTCTTTTCATGTGTGTCTGTAATATAGGCACATATGTACTAAATGAAGGCTTTTCCTTTGTAGATGGTGGTACTGAGGGTATCCATGCATTGCTATGGCTGTGCAAAACAAGTAGAGAAGCACATTTCCAAGCTTGATGGTAATATACTTTCCTTTTCCTCCTTGTTTTCCATCAAGGATTCGTAGCCTTTTGCTCTAATGATCCGATTATATTTGGAGTGGAACCGGATTCTTAGCTGTCCCATGAAAAACAGGAGTGAACTCATACAAAGTAGACCTGGAAAGCAAAAGGGTGGTTGTTGTTGGTGATATAACCCCTTTTGAAGTGATGGAGAGCATCTCAAAGGTTAAAACTGCAGAGCTTTGGACCGCCTGAACAAAACCATACTTTATGAGAAGCAACACTAGCATATATTTTATGTTTTGCAGACATTTCAAAGCTCTTGTTGGCCCGGTTCTGTCTTGCTAACTGTGTTTTGTTAGCAGCAAAAGTGTGTTGTAAATTGTAGTTACTGTTATTGTTAAGCGGGTATTTTTTGCATTGAACATGGCCCTGTGGTAGTGGTTCTGTCCTCATCTTTGAAGGACATGGCATGTGGTTTTTAAGAGAGTTTGGTTGGCAGGACCCATTTTAGGGCAAGATTCGATCGATACAAACATATATTATTGCATACATAACATAAGATAGGGCTTGGAATCAAGGTTTTAAAAAACGGTCCGCACCGCGATTTCGGTCGCGATATAGCGGTTTCGTCACCGTCCGAGTTACCCGCGACGGCCGTAATCACGGTAAATCCGAAATAACCAAAAACGCGGCCGCGACCGCGATTTGAAACCCTACTTGGAATATAAACATGATGTCAATCTTGTTATGGAAATAGAAAGAAAATCACTAGATTATACTTTTTGTCCAATTACTTATCTTTAACTTGCCTCTTAATTCAAATTGGTTGAAATAGGAAATATCGATTTGAAAAAACAAACTAAGATGTCAGAAGAGTGGAGAGAGTCTACGGTGATACCAATCTATAAGAATAAAGGAGATTCCCAACGTTGTAGTAATTACACAGGTATTAAACTACTCAGCCATACTATGAAGCTATGGGAAAGAGTGATAGAGGCTAAGTTTAGACAGGTTACTAGGGTTTCGAAAAACCAATTTGGCTTTATGCCAGGCAGATCTACTACGGAGGCGATTCATCTACTTCGAAGGCTTATTGAGAAATATAGGGAAAAAATAGATATATTCACATGGCGTTCATTGACCTTGAGAAGACGTATGATAGCGTACCCCGCGATACGATCTAAAAGACCTTGGAAACGAGACAGATCCCAACTGCTTATATCCGGGCGATTCGTGATATGTTCTGTAGATCTACTACATACGTAGAACGACAGTTGGCGACACCGAGGCTTTTCCGGTGGAAATCGGACTCCACCAGGGGTCGGCTCTTAGCCCTTACATCTTCGCCTTGATTATGGACGACATCTATTGTGCGACACCAGACGGTGTTCCATGGTGTATGTTTTTCGCTGACGACATTATCCTAGTTGCTGAAACAAAAAATGAGTTGAATAATAGACTGGCTACCTGGAAGATTGCTTTGGAAGAAATAGGTCTAAGGATCAATATTGAAAAAACAGAGTATTTATGTTCAAACTTCTGTGGAAACCAAAACGATGAAGATGTAGAAATATGCATCGAAGGACACGTTTTCCCCTCAAAGGATTGTTTCAAGTGCCTAGGGTCTATGATACATAAAGATGGGGGTGTAGATGATGACGTAACACACCGTATAAAGGCGGGATGACTAAAGTGGAGGGCTGCTACTGGAGTTTTGTGTGACAAGAAGGTGCCTCAAAAACTTAAGGAAAAATTTTATAGAATGACAATAAGACCAGCGTTGCTGTATGGATCAGAATGTTGGGCAATCAAGAAGGATCACGTAAGGAGGATGGAGGCCGCTGAAATGAGAATGCTTCGATGGGCATGTGGTAGGACTCTGTGGGACATGACACCAAACTCTGCAATTAGGATGTCCTTGGGGGTGGTGCCTATATCCGAAAAATTGAGGGAGGGAAGACTACGGTGGTTTGGGCATGTCCTTAGGCGAAAGCCATCGGATGCGGTCAGAATGGTAGAGTTGATTACAATCGACGGTGTCAGAAGGAGAGGACGACCAATGAGGAAGTGAGTAGACTGCTTGAGATCTGATTTGAAGGATTTAACCCTTACTGAGGACATGACCTATGATAGGAAAGTATGGAGACTAAAGACCAGGGTAACTGAGTAGTGTGGGTCACATCCATAGGGTGTATCATCTCTGTCTTTTTTTTAAATTACCTTTGTAGTAATTTCCATGACCTCTACTTTTTATACGTTTCTTTCATTGGATTTTATGAAGGATTAGAACTAGGGTAGCGGAGTGGTGTTGCCTTAGTTTAGGTTCTAACCCATTTAGACTTTATTCATTCTCGTAGCTTGCTATCTCTGACTTCCATGTATCTTTATCTTCATGTTTCATATTTTTAAATTTAGCCAGGACTTACGTTTCTGTCAATATGCAGAGATTTTTAGGTAAGGATTTATGTGCAGTGATTACTTCCCATTACAGACGCGCATATGAAGACTATTCAACTATGTATTTATTGATTTATTTATACATGCATTGTATTTTATCTTTATTTTTAATTTCCTGACTGCCAGAGGTCTTCCACGGAAGCTGCTCTCAACCTGGCGTTGGGGGCAGCCTACTACCCTACCTCCCCTTATCCCATTGCATATTGGAAATAGGGTTTTGTTGTTGTTATTGTTGTTGTATCGAATAAAATAAAATAAAGTAGACATCAAATTGAACCCGAAGTCGAGTTCATGTACTTAATTTGGACCAAAAAATGCAGTGGTACTAAATTGAACATTCAAACTAAATTCATGCATCAAAATATATATTTACCTATTGTAAATAGAGAAGAGGAGAAATGAGATATAAAAATATAATAAATTTAACTCTTAATATTTACATCTTTTTGTTAATTTAGTCTTTATCTTTTTAATTAAATTTAACTCTCAACCTTTCCAATAGGTACCATAAAAGGATAATTTTTCTTAATTAATATGAAAAGAGAATGACTCATAAAATATGCATAACAAATTATTTCTTAATTAGTGTGGAATGAACGGGTCATGAGAAAAACAATTGTACCACTTGATGTTTTTGGGAAGATTTTGAGAAGACATGATGTCTTTTTTAAATTGTATGTAGTGTGAACATCATCTCAATTAACAACGTACAAACCCAAAAGATATCATATCTTTCGATGTCTTCTTAAATACGTATAGTGATATGAGTATTTTCACCAAATTTATTTTTTACTGTTTATTTCTATCGTAGAATAATTTCTCCAATATTCGATATGAGTTTTTTCTTTTGCACCGTATTGTTCCCTATGAAACTTGCCCTGTAATTCTCTCTCTATATATATTGAGGAGCGGAGATGGAACAAATTTATGATAGATGCATTGTATGATTAGGTAGTGGTGTGTATCATTGGGAATATGAGAAAATCCATCTTCGACAATGTCATCTGTACTAGTATGATACCTCATGATGATATTCAGATGTGGTTGGTGTAGACTTGACTCATAATGTAATCAGAGTCGATTCTCTTTCTGCAAAACTTCACAGCCCATTTCACTCATTTGGAATGCCCTACCAAATCAGAACACACATTCCCAAACATTCCTCTACGTACTAAGGTGTCGTTTGGTTCGCTAGAATGTTTATGAGGGAATTAGAATCTGTGAAGGAATTGGAATCTGTCAGGAATTGGAATCCAATTCCATATTCTGTTTGGTTGGCAGGAAATGGAATTGGAATCCAATTCCATATTCTATTTGGTTCGTAAACATATCAGATGAATTTGATTTCAGTAATGTAAAATGACAGAATTACCCTTCTTATTTTTTTGCTTTATTTTATAACTTACATGTAGTAATATATTATAAAAAAGTTAAAAATATTAAATTTTCATTTTATTGATTGATATTCATTTCAATAAATTATAAAAATCATGCTAATAAACATCATAAGTTAAAATCATCGCAATCAAAATATGTTAATAAGTTATCAAAAGATAGAGCAATATTTCGATACATTCCAATCGGAGTATGTTAATTAGTTACAAAAAAAATTTACCAAAAACTATTTTTATTCAATATATGAATTAGAAACCCGACACGACACAAAATAATAAAAAAATTATTTTTATTCAATAAAAATATTGACTTAATTGAAAAAAATATATATAGAAGGGTATTATTGTAATTATTCCTAAATATATAAGGTAAAATTATATATTTTTTTTGGGTTGGTCCGGGTTTTTTTTCACCCTAAACCCGAACCCGACCCGACCCGAATATCACACTTAAAAAATCTGACCCGAACAAAATAAAGTTTCACCCGACCTGACCCGAATATATGAATTAGAAATCCGACCCGACCCGAAATAATAAAAAAATATTTTTATTCAATAAAAACAATGACTTAATTGAAAAAATATATATAGAGATGTATTATTGTAATTATATCTAAATATATAAGGTAAAATTATATATATTTTCGGGTCGGGTATTTTCACCCTAAACCCGAACTCGACTTGACCCGAATATCACACTTAAAAAACCGACCGACCAAAATAAAGTTTCACCCGACCCGACCCGACCTGAATATATGAATTAGAAACCCGACTCGACCCGAAATAATAAAAAAATATTTTTATTCAATATATGAATAAGTTACTAAAAGATTGATTATGGTAGTATGGTTAAATTTCAATTCCCTCCAACAAGCGAATTGAATTCCATCAATTCTTGGATGGAATTCACTTTCCTTCATTTGATGAAAAGTTGAAGCTATGAGGGATTCCAATTCCCTTGAAAAACTTGAACCAAACATGGGAAAATTGTGGAATTAGATTCCAATTCCCCCCAATTCTAAGTGATTCCATCCAACCAAACGCCACCTAAGGATTATTTGCTTGTTTAATACATGTATTGTATCAATTTGTTTTTTATTTTAGGATAAATTACAAATTTAGTATTTAAATTATCATTTTTATTTCATTTTAGTATCTAAACTTTCATTTGTTTCAAAAGCATACTTAACGTTTTCTTTTTTTCATTTTAGTACACTGTCGCTAAAAACTTAGCAAAACTGATGTACGCGACATTTTTATGGGTAAATTACATCATTTATTACTTAACTATCTTTTTACTCTTATTTTAGTCACTAAAATTTAAAAAAATTCAATATAAACTTTCAAATTGCTCATGTTTTAATCACTCTAATTTATTTTATTAATATTTTGTATGGTACGACATTTTTATTATTATTTTATTAATATATAATTAAAATAAAAATAAATTAAAAAATTAGAGTGATTAAATTAGGAGTAATTTGAAAGTTAAATAATTTTAATGGTGAGGTACTAAAACAAAATAAAACTAATAATATAGGTACTAAACATGTAATTTATCCTTTATTTTAATTATGGATGAGAAAAAAAGAAAATGACGTAAAAAATATTTCACATTAATATCTTTCGTTATTTTTTTAATAACTGATAATTAAAATAAAAAATATTTTAGCGATCAGAGTAAGAAAATGATAATAGATTAACAACTAATGATCTAGTTTACTTTTATTTTCTATTTATTGATATTGTTATTATGTTTTATAAAATTCTTTAGTATATTGTTTGTTGAGTATCGAATGTTAAAAGTTATAAAATGATCGTTCAACTATTGAATGTTGTTTTGTTGAGTCATCTAATTATTAAGGGTTACAAAGCGACCACCTAACCATTTATATGTCTCAAACTCGTATTTTATATTAAAAAATTAACAATCGTCTGAGATAGACGTTAATCTGCTGACTAAGATATAATAAAATCATATTTTAATGATGTCTACTAGTATCATTATTGCTTTCAAGCACTAATTCGACAACATAATATTTCAAGTATGAACTCAACGACATAATGTAAATGAAGAGTTAATCCATAAATTACAACTCAAATGATTATTGAATCAGATTTTTTCACATCACAAATCAAATTATCATCATCTTTTAACAAAAATGACGAGTTTAAAATATATAAATAGTCGAATAATTATTTTGTAGTTTTTAATAGTCGATGATTCAACTAAACAATGCTCTATAATTAAAGATTATTTTATAACTTTAATAATCAATGGACTCAATAAAATAACCTACTATAATATAAGGAAATTTTTGCATTTTACCTAAATAAAAACAAAATAACCTACGATAAAACAAACATTACGCGCCATGACAATGGCTGTTAAATCACGCATTAATCGGAAAATAGGAACCGGTGCTTTCCCGTACTTTTTTCTGAAGTCAAAGCCAGCGTTGCTTTTCGATCAACAGCAAATTTACGCGTTCTTCGTGTCGCGTGAGTCTCCCCTGATCCCTTTAGCTTCAAAGCATTGCCAACTCGTGCAAGCTTCCTCGTCTCGTTTCTCTTTCTCTTCAAAATCCAACTAACAGAACGAAGGCTCTCTCGCTCTGTATTCCAAGCCTTTTGCTTATTTTGGTTTTGGCTTCATCAAAACCCTAGATTGCTCCCCACTATGCTCAGGTATTGATTCTTCTCTTAGAATCTACTCTTTAACTTTTTGTTTGCTTAGATCCGTTCTCATTAATGAGAAAAATAGGGATTTAATTTTAAGGAAAATGTGTAGTATTGATGATGCAATGACTTGCCGATGGTTAAAACTAATTTCTTTTGACAGGTGGGGTGAGCTAACCTTTACGAGTTTCGTCATTTATATTATGAATTGAGCAGATAAATACATTTCTAAAGGTATGATCTTCTACTACTGCCTGCTTTAATTTCTCTGTTTGTTGCAGATCGAATCCTTGTTCTTGGAAGAGCATGTTTGTCGTAGCAGAGTCATAAGAAAGTCACGTTATCACTCACTAGTGATGTTTGTTTTGTTTTTTGAAGTACTCTAGAATTTGGGAAATATATATTTCCAGTAACTTTGATGGCGTTTACTGGACTTTAATCGATGTGTTCTGATGAAATGATTTGTATGCCGTTGAGGCTTAGAATCATATTCAATGTGTATGCAATCCTACCTTTTCTCCCTGACTTCATTCCTCTTTACCTTTTTTAATACAATATCATTGGAACAAACATGGGTGTCTTGCAGGTTGAATAATGCTATGACACTGTCTAGTCCTTTCGTAATATATTATATAAATTATAGCAGTTGGCATTATGTTTCCGTCGTTTGATTATTCTGTGTACCTGTTTTTCTTCTCTTGTGTAGCATTCAGAAGCCTAATTGGTCCAAGGAAGGATCAAAATGACTCAAGCTTTGAAGTTGGCTAACAAAACAATCCAGAAGTCAGAGTCAAGAAAGTTCTCGTCCGCTGCCAACAGTCAACCTTCCTCTAGGAAGCAAAACAGAAAGGGAGAGATCCCGGTGAAAGTGCTTCCGGCTTCTGAGCAGCCTCCGGAGCATGGATTTTCAAACTCATGGATATGTAAAAAATCTGCTTGCAGAGCTGTTCTATCTAAAGATGGTGCATTTTGTAAGAGATGCTCGTGTTGCATCTGTCACTTATTTGATGACAACAAGGACCCAAGTCTTTGGTTGGTATGCACTTCTGAATCTGGTGATGGGGATTATTGTGGGTGTTCATGTCATATCGAGTGTGTTCTTCAACGTGAGAAGGTGGGAGTTGTTGTTCTTGGCCAATTGATGCAGCTAGATGGTAGCTATTTTTGTGCTTCTTGTGGTAAAGTTTCAGGTATACTTGGGTGAGTAATTCACTTGCAGCTCATGCCTCAGTCCATGATTACCATCATGTCAAAATTTGATGTGGGAAAATATCTGAATGTCATGAATCAGGTTTTAGATAATATGATCAAATACTTATTTTTCGGCTTTGGGCTGACACGATTGGCGTGATTACTTTGCATCTGCAGATGTTGGAAGAAGCAACTTAGCATAGCTAAGGCTCCTAGACTCGACATCTCGCTTTAAAGAACTGCACGAGTTTGTGAAAGATATGAAGGCCAAATTAGAAACGGAAGTTGGCCCCATGAATGGGGTTTCTGCCAAAATGGCACGGGGAATTATCAGCAGGCTTTCCGTTGCTGGTGATAGACAGAAACTATGCTCTCTTGCAATCGGAAAAGCGAATGAATGGAAGGCAACAATGTCTAATACTAACCCAAAGTTCCAAGGTTAGAACTTAGAACCCGCATTGGCCTCCTTTATTTCTTATTGGTTATGTAGATGTTAGTAATTTGTTACATGAAAAACGTTTTTCTGCTTGATGGGCAGATTCACGACCTGCTGCATGCAGGTTTATGTTTGAAGAAGTGAAGTCGTCATCTATTATAATTGTTCTGGTCGAACTATCTACTGTATCAGCCGATGATATTAAGGGCTACAAGCTGTGGTATTTCGAAAGTAGCAATGAAACATATACAAAAGAACCTATCTGTGTTTTCCCAAGAACTAAGAGAAGAATTTTGATATCTAATCTGCAGCCTTGTACCGAGTACACCTTTTGTATTGTTTCTTATATCAAAGCTGGTGACTTGGGCCATTCTGAGGCTAAATGTTTCACTAAGAGTGTGGAGATACTTAACAAGAATCCTAATTAAGCGGATATCATGAATCTGAAGAATCGGCTTTCCCTTATTGAAGGAGGCTCAGTGGAGCTCACGGCAGTTGGTTCTGGATTTAAGGTTCCAGACCTTGGAAAGATCCTGCAACTTGTTTGGGCTCAAAAGCTAGGATGCTTTGAAGGGTTTTGTAGTGATGATGTAGAAAAATGCTGTGCGGTAAGCAAAATTATTGAGCCTGAAACTCGGAAAGACGGTCATATGGCATCCGTTTCGCGTGGGATTGACTTAAATGTTGCCTTGGTTCCTGATCTAAATGAGGAACTGACTCCTCCATTCGAGTCCTCCAGAGATGAAGAAAACGGTTACACTTTAGAACAGGCCATGGAGGCAGATAACGATACTTCATCGCATGAAATAGAGAAGAAAGCCATAGCAAGATCACACAGAACTAGTGATTCCCACACAGAGTTGTTCAGGAATAGAGCGGCGAGCTTGAATGGAGAGTCACATGACTGTGATAGCATTAGCACCCTTGTAAATGGATTGCCATTCCGAATCTGCAACGATTCAGGTGACTTGGACGAGAGCTTCGAGTCTTGCGTAAAGATAATCAGATGGCTAGAAGGCGAGGCTCATATTAACCAAGAATTCAGATTGAAATTACTAACATGGTTTAGCTTGAGGTCCACGGAACAGAAACGTAGGGTGTTCAACACATTCATTCACACTCTGATCGACGATCCAATTAGCTTGGCGGGGCAATTGGTTGGCTCGTTTTCGGAGATCATGTCTAGCAAGATGCCACGTATTGGATTATGTAGTAAGATGCGGCAATAAGTTGACGTTCGCTGGTATCGAATCACAATTGTTTCGTCTAGAAATACATGGTTTAACCGATTCAATTACTTACTTATCTGATTTTAAAATTTTTGAATTAATAAATTTTTATTTTAATATATAAACAATAAACAGTAAAAATGTGCTGTTAAGATTAAATTCGAATTTGATTTAAATTTAAAATAATACTAAAATAAATATAAATCAACACGACCCGAATTAAATTTGATCAAAAACTAATTCAAAATTGTATTACGAGTAGGGTGTTTATTGAAGAGTAGCTCGTGTGCAACGTGAACTTGACCGGTCAAAGTTAGGTAAAAATTTGACTCGAGTTCGGCTAAAGACCTTAACGAGTTGAGTCTAGTAAAGTTCAACTCGACTCGATAACTTCGTTAACAACTCGTTAATTTTTTTATATATATTTTTTAGTGGTTATCTTTAAAAATTACTAATTTACTAATAGGTAATTAAAAAGATGTTAAATTACTAATATATTAATTTATTAATTTAATGTATTTGTGGATTATTACTTTAGAATTTAGATTATGAAAATGTTTCGTACATTTTTTTTATAATTTTATAATTTAATATATTAATTTATGTTTATGTTAAGTTCTATATAGTATTAGTAAATTTTACCTATAATTAAAAAAATAATATAAAAATTTTGATGAGCTAAACGAGCAACTAGGTGAGCAACGAATATCGAGTTTAACGAGCATCGAATCGAGCAATAAATATTTTAATAAGCACTAATTGAGTAAAATTTTAATAATTTTAACGAACTACAAAAATAATATTAACGAACACGAATAGAATATTAATCAACTCAGACTTGGACTCGCTCAATAATCACCCTAATTACGAGATCTTGAAGGCGAGCCGGATGGGAAATAAGATTCCTCCAATATATATGAATTTTACTCGGTAGTTGAACTCAGTGTCGCATTCACCACTCTCCAAAGCAAGGTCAAATATCAGGGAAAGCATGAGATGCTTTCCAGTCTCTAAACTCGCCACCAAATCTTTTCCGTTAAAGTTCCCACTATCATTGTTCCCAAACAACCCCGATGCATCAGCGTTTGTCGCCGCTGCTCTGTTTTCAAGTCTCGCTCCTCGATCTCTCCGCTTCTCTATTTGCAGTGACGCCTCGAGGTCATCGATAGGAAGCGTTTCTTTTTCTAGTCGTGATTGGAACTTGTCCACCATGGCTGGTGGAGCTGAAGAGTTTGTGAAAGGAAATGTTTACCCAAACGGGGTCGTAGTCATTACTCTAGACCGTCCCAAAGCTCTCAACGCTATGAATTTAGGTCCTTTTCGTTATTTCTCCTTCGTTTACATTGAAATTTCTCCTTTTTTTTTGTTATTCAAGTTTAAGTAACTCTTCTACGAGCTAAAAGGTTGACTTTGATTGGAGTGAAAACAAGTTTGACGTGAATGATCTGTTGTAGCTCGATTTTAGACTACGTAATTTTCTTTGATAATATAAAGGATAAAATTTGATGGAGTAAAACTGTTGAAAATAGTTAAGAGCAAAGTGAGAAAGGAAGACATATTTGAATTATTTGCTGGTACTATTGAAGATGAGTATAATTAAAGAAGCATGTAGGGGTTCTGCAAGTTATATACAAAATCTTTTTTGTTCTTGAAATCTTAGATATTATTCAGATTAATGGAAATCTTTCCACTTTAAATTTGGTGTCAAGTGGCATTATCTTTGGTGTGGATATGAATTAATAATTTGCAGATGAGTTTTTGGGGTGAGACGTTTGTGTCTCTTGATAAATGCAGATATGGATATCAAGTACAAGCAAATTCTTGATGAATGGGAATCGGATCCAAATGTCAAATGTGTTTTGATCGAGGGCAGCACACCACGTGCCTTTTGTGCAGGTACTTTGAAGAAAAAAATTAAGATTCTAAATGCTAGTTTGTAATGAAGAATGTGCATTGATTTCCTTGTAGGCTAGTTTTCATGTACTAGTGTTAGGGTAGTTTTTGGGGCTAACCATTGATGGGTAATGCAATGCATGAATGGATATTAATGGTGTTGTTGCTGAAATCCAAAAGGATAGAAACACACCCCTTGTGCCAAAGGTTTCCTTTCCCTTCCATCTGTAAATGCATGCCTTGTGCTACAAATGTTTCTTTCTAGCTCGCTGTTGAATATTTTGTCAGTTCTTGTTAAATTGGCTGTTGCAAGCTATAAGCTATAAGTTGTTTACCGTATTATTCTTCCTTTTCCCCTTTTTTCTTTGGGTGGGATGAGGATGTTCTTTTCAAGTTTTATCTTTTATTTTTGGATTCAATGTAGTGTTCTTCTCTCATTGATAACTTACATCTTAGCTTATATGCAGGTGGTGATGTGAAGCAGATTACAGAAAAAAACAAACTCTCGGATATGATTGAGGTTAATTATATACCATTATAATTATAATCATTTCCAATTTACTAAAATTTTGTCAGCACAAGATGTCTGTCACATTTTCCTACTCAAAATACTACTTTTACCATGGATATGATACATTCAACCTTCCGAGAACCATTGATGAGAAATACTTCGCAAGAATATGAAACACAAGTAATTGTATGCAACTCTGAAATCTAAAGCATCTATGAGTCTGGGTTTTATGTAGGCTCTATATAAATTCAGGTGAATAAACAGGGGGGATATTTGGGATCAAATAATTGTAGGTAATAATACGAGTCTCAAGCATCCTTTGATTGTAAATGTAATACAACTTGAATAACATAATTTGGCCTCTATTTGTGTCCAGATGAAATTAGCATCCGTAGGAGCATAATTAAAGTTCAACTGTTTGAGCTTTTGCTTGCAGTTTTAACTCTTTGAATGTTTTATCTTGTAAACATAGCAAGATTGTAAATAATCTGTTGTTACATGACCAAGATGTAGCAGTTAAAATGATAGGATGGGAGAATGGTAACTCTACACCACTGAGTGCTCGGTACCAGCAATGAATATAGCATATAGCTTGCTAATTGCAGAGTTTTCTGTTTATTTTTTGTTGCTTCTCATCACTGCAATGCTGTTCCATCACTGTGTTTTTCATTTTACCCTGTCATTAGAAGTATATTATCGAATTATGCTGTATTGTTTTTCCAGGTTTTTACTGCAGAGTATTCTCTAGTATGCAAAATTTCTGAATACAAGAAGCCTTATATATCATTCATGGATGGCATAACAATGGGCTTTGGAGTTGGCCTATCTGGTCATGGTCGCTACAGAGTGGTAACTGAGGTACAAACTGATCTTTTTGCTGCCCATAAATATTTTCTCTTGCATTTTAAATTATCATAGCTTTACTAATTTTCTCTCTTATCTTTTGCTCTTGCATATCTGTGGGTCAGAGGACTGTTCTTGCCATGCCAGAAAATGCAATAGGTTTGTTTCCCGATGTTGGGTTTTCATATATAGCAGCAAAAACTCCTGGAGGGGGTTCTGTTGGTATGTTTCTTTTACCCTAAAACTAAGCTCTAAGAGTTGCACCAAAAGCAGTTTGTAATAGGATGCTATAGATTAAACCTGTAATACTGGGGTTGACGTGGGAGGGTAGTGCTTATTTTGAACCTCTTCTTTTATTACCTTTTGGAGACGCTGAATCCCTAAAGCTGAACTTATGTTGTTATACGCATGCACAAACATTGTTTCACTTCTCTTGCTATTCTCAGTTCAGTTCACTCTACGGCGCACCCCTCTACTGTTGCCATTTACAATTTTGGAGTTCTGTAGGTGCTTATCTCGGAATGACTGGGAAAAAGATATCAACGCCTTCAGATGCACTATATGTAGGTCTTGGAACACACTATGTGACATCTGGGAATCTAGGTTCACTGAAGGAAGCCCTTCTATCCAGTAACTTGTACGCCTCAAATCTTGTTTCTAGTTTGAGTGGAAATGAAAGATATTTAGGATCTTGGCTTAAATACAAACTTCAGCATTTAAATCTTCTTGGTTTTATTGTAGTTTCATCGAGGATGATATGTTTTTGGAAAATCGGAGATGCGGTGGTCTAAGTAGCAACATAAATATTTCTGGTTTCTTAATCTTTCCCTCAAAATCATAAATGATATATATTTATTTTCACAGTTCGGAGGATCCAGACAAGGTCCTTACAACATTGTTGGCAAAGTACAACAGTAACCCCGAGTCTGAAGATCACTTGAAATTACTTTTGCCTCAGATAAGTTCATGCTTCAGTGCAGATAAATCGGTTAGTGAGACAATCACAGAGGTTAAGAAACATCAGCAAAGCACAGAAGCTTCAGGTAAGCTTATCCAAACAATAAATTAAACTGGATATGCATCGTCATTTTGCTCTTGTGGATGACAAAAGATGACACTGAAACCGGCAATGTAGATCTATTTAACAGTTTCTTTCTGCAGTGGCAGAGTGGGCAAATGATGCTCTGCAGGAGCTTGGAAAGGGCGCTCCCTTTTCTCTTTGCTTAACCAAAAATTATTTCTCTAAAGTTGCATCTGGATATGGTAAACATGGCAATGAATTTACAACGGTGAGTTCGGAGGTGTGTCATTCAACTGCATTTTCCTCCATCTCTCTCTCCATTTCTAAGTAAATTTCTTCTATGGTTGCAATATTTTTTTTTTGATAGGAATAGAAGGCCTCAATAAAACCCCCTTCGTGATTAACGGAACTTAAGAATAGTTCCTTAATCCGCACAAGGAGGAAAAGAGTGCCCTAGGATTCATTAAACTCAAATATAACAAAGTAGTACAAACTAATCTCCCTCAAGAGATACAAAACCAGAAAGAAATAGCCCTTAACAGGACATAATTCAACCAATACTAGCCTTAGCTAGGACATCCGCCTCTATATTGGTTGTCCTACTAACCCAACTAATAAAACCTTCAAAAACACTAAGCTTTTGAATAATGTCTTTAACAATTTGAACATAAACAACAGGACAAGAGACCACATACTACCACCTTACTATCACTCTCAATAATCAATCTATCTTTAAACCTATGACAAATAGATTCATAAAAATCTAAACCCTTTAGGATAGCCTTCAATTCCATTAAAGTTGGGAGCCCCGGACCAACAGGCTCTTTGAAGGAGCCAAGAATCGAACCAGACATGTCTTTCAAAATACCACCTAAGACACTCCTCTTCCAATCACTCGAAGTAGCCGCATCCACATTAAGTTTAATAAAACTTTTTGGAGGAGGGGACCAAAGAAACACGGTTGAAATCTGATTAGAATGGGACGAGTAGGAATCCACTAAGGACGGGTCAGCAATAAGATCATCCTTGGAAATAGTAATATGAGTTTCCTTAGCTAGAAACCATGAAGCAAGCCTGCACCTAGCTAGAAAGAAAATCTCTACTCGATCAAGCTTCCCTCCTTCAAACACTATAAAATTCCTGGTCTTCCAAATTGTCCATAGCACAGCTCCAGGTATAAATGACCAGATAAGAGAGTTGGTCTTCAAGTCATTCCAAGCCAATAGGAATCTTTTAGCATCTGCATGAAAAACAGACTGAAAATTCCAATAGCCCAAGAATTTCATCCAAATTGGCCAAACCACCGAACAGGAAAAAAATAAATGCGATGAAGACTCTTCTTCTAGATTACAAAAAGAACACAAAGTATCATTTATGCCCTGAACACCTCTCTTAACCAGAGCTGTCTTCACTGCCAACTTCTTTAAGATAACTTGCCAAAGAAAAGTCTCTACTCTTGGAGGCAACATACCCCTCCAAACATTAGACTTCCAAAATTTAGCTTCCTCCGAATCGGGAGAACCCGAATAAGATAGATTGACACATGATTTCACAGTGAAAACCCCTTCTCCATTCCCCTTCCAAAACAGTCCATCAGCGGCATCAACAGAAATAGAAAAATCAGAGATAACAGCCATCAAATTTGCCCATTGCTCAAATTCCCAGTCATTCAACTCTCTCCTCAGCTGAACGTTCCAAATCCAACCCCCTGAACTGAACTCCCCAAACTGAAATAATCTTCCTGCTTTATTCACTGCAATAGAAAATATTCTAGGGAACAATACCATCAAAGGATGATCCATTGCCCAATTGTCTTGCCAAAACCGAATGTTCCTCCCATTGCCAATTTTATAGCTATATTTACCTCTGATACTACAGCCCAACGAATCAGCTTTATAATGATTACTCACCATATCTCTCCACATCCAAGAAAATTTAGGAGAGACTTTACTGTCAAACTGCATCAAGGAAGGATCCAATTTATATTTGTTGCAGAGCATTTCCCTCCAAACTGCATCCCTCTCAATAGCAAACCTCCAAGCCCACTTTTCCAAAAGTGCCCTATTCACCACATTTAAATTAGGAACCCCCAAGCCTCCTTCAATTTTTGGTTTACAAACGTCGGACCAGCTTACCCAATGTATCTTCTTTTTCCCATCTCCACCACCCCATAAAAAATTTGACATAATAGAATTTAGAGTCTTGTAAACTGAAGGTGGAACCTTGAACATTGACAAAAAGTATATAGGGAGTGAGCTTATAACTGATTTAATTAGAACTAGCCTGTCTGCCAGTGACAGAGAGGAGCCTTTCCAGCCCGCTAACCTCTTATTAAAGCTTTGAACCACTGGATCCCATAGAATGTTGGAGTTCCTATGTGGACCTAAAGTGAGTCCCAAATATTCTGAGGGAAAAGAGCCCACTGAACATCCAATCATAGCTGCCCAATCCTTAATTTCCTCTTCCTTTAAGTTCACCCCAAATAATTTACACTTCTTTAAATTCAGCTGAAGACCAGAAATAATCTCAAACACCCGAAGCACCCTCTTTACATTTAAGATCTGTTTTTTCGACGCCCCACAGAACATAATAAGGTCGTCAGCAAATTGCAAATGAGTTAAATTAAAATTTCTCTCCTCTTTTCTAATGACCAATCTCGAAAAAAGCCCTCCTGAAACAGCCTTCAGTATTAATAGATTCAAGAGTTCCCCAACTATATTGAACAACAATGGAGACAAGGAACAGCCCTGCCGAAGACCCCTCGCCATTGGAATTTCCTCGGTAGGAACCCCGTTCACCAAAACTGAAACAGTTGTTGATGTGATACATTTCGAAATCCAACCTATCCATCTAGAACCAAAGCCCATTTCCTTCATTATTCTGAACAAAATAGGCCAGTCAAGAGTATCATATGCCTTCTTGAAATCAGCCTTAAAAACACACCCTTTTAAACCATTCTTCCTCCAAAAGTCAATCCCTTCATTTGCTATAAGAGAACAGTCCAGGATTTGCCGACCGGGGATAAAAGCGAATTGACTTGGACTAATCAAATCTGAAATGCAGCTCCTAAGTCTTCTTGACAGACATTTAGAGAGTATCTTATACAATCCACCAACTAGGCTTATAGGTTTAAAATCGTCCAGACCACCAATGTTTGAAATCTTAGGAATAAGAGTGATGAATGTGTGATTTACTCCATGTTCCCATTCCTTCCCCAAGTAAAAATTATGAAAGAATTTCATAATATCTACCTTAAGGACCTTCCAAAACCTCTTGAAAAATCCCAGATTAAAGCCATCAGGACCCGGAGCTTTGTTACTGCCACAAGAGTTCACCACATCCCAAACTTCCTCCTCAGAAAACTCCTGCTCTAAGGACTGATTCTGATCCAAATAAATTCTGGGAAAATCCAGATTCAAATCATCAATTTCTAACGTAGTTCGTTCATTATAGATCTTAAAAAAATACTCTTTAACTATGGCCTTAATTGCAGTTGGATCTTCAACTGTTTCCCCTTTGAAGTTTAAAGCAAGTAGAGCATTCCTTTTATTCCTAATCGTAGCACAAGTATGGAAGTATTTAGTATTGTGATCCCCATCTACAATCCAATTAGTTCTCGAGTACTGAAACCAGATTTGCTCCTGAATCTTGTGAAGCTTCCACAATTCTACTCTAGAATTTTTCAACTCTGTTAATACCTCACTGTCAACAACTCCTTGCTTCTGTTGAATATCATCCTCTATCAACGAAAATTTCTTCTCTAACTCAGAAATCAAAGCTTCTGGATACTTATCTCTGTTTCCAGACCACTTCTTAATTGCATGTTTGGTGTTCCTCAACAGACTAAAAACGCATGTCTTATTCTGACTATCCTTGCCACTCTGAATAGAAGAAACAACCAGATCCTCAAAACCCTCCTCATCCATCAAATAATTGAATAATCTAAACGGTTTTCTACCCCAGTCCACTCCTTTATTCTCCAGAACTATAGCATTATGATCTGACAAAGATCTTGGTAGAAGAGACTGCAAAATGCCCGGAAAAAGCTCTAGAAAGCGACAATCAACCAAAAAACGGTCCAATCTTACAAAAGTGGGATTTTCTTGGTTATTACACCAAGTGAACCTACCCCCATTCATAGGGAGATCAATCAAGCCCGTATGAAGAATGAACTCATTAAAGATCTCCATTGAACTCCTACTTTGACCCCTTCCCATTTTCTTATCTTCTTGTAAATAGACATTGAAATCCCCTCCCACACAAACGGGATAATTCTGTCCACTAAGAAAACTACTTAATTCTTCAAAAAAAACAGATTTCTCCTCCTCCACTGCTGGACCGTAAACATTGATGAAACCACACCTGGAATCAATACTCCGAAATTTACCGAAAGTAGCTATAAATCTCCTGCTAATAAACTGACTCTCCAGCTCAAAAATATTGTCATCCCAACAACACAACAGGCCCCCCGCTGATCCAACTGAAGGAGATTCCAAAATTCCTTTTACCTTATTAATTCCACTTCTCCTAAAAAAAGACCTTCTAAATTTCTCAGTCTTAGTTTCTTGCAGCCAAAGAAAAGTAGGATTAAAGTTGGTGACTAAATTCTGAACAGCCCTCTTTTTTTCGTTTTTCCCCAAGCCCCTAACATTCCATGAACATATTACTAACTTTGTCATCTTCAAAAAGGAAATAGGTACAGACACAACCCTCAATCAACCAAACCTTTATTAACCCCTTTCACGCCTTTCTCTAAAGCTATGATTTTTTTCCAAAAAGGCTTCTTTCCCTTCCTTAAAAGACACACCCAAAAGCTTGCTAACCTCCCAAGCTTCTACCGCTTCTTTCAATAGAATCGAAAAAGCTGAGGAGGATGTTGTATCAATGCTCACCTGGTCAAGGGCTTCTCGATACAGGATCCTTTTAGTTCTTCTCTTCCTTCTGATCAGCAAACCAGATTTGGACTTTAAGCAATCACCTTCTGAAAAGTAACCTTCAATCTCCCTCTCTACACTCCCACCCCCAGATCCATTGTCAAGATAAGGAAAAAGACTCCCATCAGCAATGTTCTCTGCTGATAAACAGAGCTGATTTTTAGTACTGGAATCAACATCTAGCTCCCTCTGCTTAACTATGGTACCCCCTGTATCAGACGAGATGTTCAACAAATCCCCATACCAGTATCTTCTTTCCCTCGACCTGTTATATACCCTTTTGCAACTGCTCAGACTTCTAGTTTCCAACACATTACTCTCTGTTGTAAACTCTCTTCTAGAGCTATGTAACTGCCTCCCCCTTGAGTTGTTATTTGAAACCAATTCCATCGGTCTTAAATTTTCTTCTTCGGGCTCTATTTCTGCACTAAATGGCTTCTCTACAATTGGGCTTGTCTTCAATACATTGGACACTCCCCTGTTTTTTCCTGATAAATGAAGGTTTTCAACCAATTCCCCAAACTTATTAATTGTAAATACTGGCCCAGAAATAAAACCCGAAAAGTATTTTGACCCAGACTGCCCAGAGTCTTCAGAATGGGCCTGAGATCCATCAGCCGAATAATTTTGACTTCTAATCCCCAAAACTGCATACTCACCAACTTTAAAATTTCCAACAGTCTGACTTTCTGACAGACCTCATTTAATATCTTTCATATCTAAGGAAAGTCCTGCTAGCTGTCTATCCTCACTAGCTCCTCCAGAAACACGAAACACTCACTGGTCAATCCAATTGTCCACTGACAGACGATTTTCCCCTGCTGCGCAAGTCTCACCTTCCCCATGAACTGACAACAATCTGTCTTCATCCTTCTCAGACATACTCTCTTCAAAAAATATCTCACCGGAATCTTCCACCGGAAAATTACTGAAAAACGAACTAGAATACTCACTAGCTGATCCAATCTTGATACTTACTTTGAATGATCTTCCATACGATCCAAGAGTAATCACCTATGGAACATCAAAAAGACTTTCCACCTTCAATAAGATTCTTGCCATTGTGAGGTCTTCTCTTTTCCTTGTACTATCATGAATATCTACCACACTGCCCCATCTACCAACCAACTTCTCAAAGAAGGGTTCATTCCAGCATAACAAAGGAACCCCTTTTATTTCTGCCATGCAAAAGGCCATTGGTACCCCGGTTTCATTCAGTAAAGGTTCCACTCGCCATGCATTCCGAATGAACTCAACTTAAAAAGAGTATTTGATAATCCCTGTTAACGACCTCTTCACCCAGTTGGCACTTTCTGTTGGGATATGCATCTCAAATATATTTTCCTTGACATTCCTCCTCTTGATATCCTCAGACAATAGATCATTGTTCCCCCTTCTATTCCCATTAGACAACAGAGCATCCCTATAAGTTCTATCATCCCTTCTACTTCTACTAATGTTTTCTCTTTCTCTTGATTTTGAAGATCCTGCATTAATCTGACCAGCAACATTGTTTGAAGAAGAAAGCACCACCCTTGACCTTGAACGTTCATCCTTAAATCTGGCAGGACTAACTGAGATCTTCCTTCCATCAATCACAATCCCGTTAAACTCATCAACAACCATCTTCAGATCTTCCTCCCTCTTAAAATGAACAAAAGCAAAAGTGGAAAATATGTATTTTGGATTTCTAGTTTGGCTGGGAATAAAGACTCTCATAACAGGACCATGGACTAAGAATAATTCCCTAAGCGTACGATGGGAGACCCTTCTACTAAGATTGTCGATAAACGCCCACCAACACTCATCCGGAACTGACTTTCCTTTCAAATTCTCTCTCTCTACGTTTTTCTCTCGCTCATCTCCTTAGTTTGTTTTTCTCTTTCTATGGTTGCAATATTTTTCAAGTAACATATGTATATTTGTGTCGCATTGATAATTTCCAGCTAAAATGTGTTATGAAAACCGAATATCGCATCGCCTTACGGTCTTCTCTAAGAAATGATTTTGCGGAAGGTGTTCGTGCAGTCTTGGTTGATAAAGATCAGGTTGGCTTTTCCTGCCTCTGTTGTATTTTCTCTCCAAGATAGTATTCTTGTCTATGGATGGATGTGCATGATCATTTACGCTCCTCGCTATTGTACACATCCTCGTTTGTCCATAATTATGATTCTTTTTTATCTCCTTGCAGAATCCAAAGTGGAACCCTCCGAGTTTGGATGAAGTTAACACAGAGGAAGTGGAAGCGGTTTTCGAACTATTAGGTCCGGGAATCGAGGAGTTGAAAGTGTAAGGTTCACATGAAATACTGGTAATATACTTGGGATGAATACTTTAAGGCTTTGATAATAGTGTGATCCTAAAGCACAACCATGATTCATATGAACTCTTGTATGAACACTCTTTATAGCCACTACTATGGTCAAATCTTTATCTATGATTCCAAAAATGGCATAGTTTACCTTTTCTTTTTTTAATCGTCTTAGGTGATCATAAATAGTATTTGTTCAGTATTTTATTGATCTATTGATAATATATATATATATATATATATATATATATACACCCTACAGTCGTATTTGTCCGAATCTAAAATCTCTAGAGAAAATAATATTTTATTTACTATTGAGACTACCTGATAAATTTAACATAACATAATTTTCGTTCCGAAATGATGGTGATATTGTTTAAAACAGATGGTAGTCCACAATATTTTTAAGAGAAAATAACCTCAGTGACCAAAAATCTCATATAATATACGATTTTAACCAACTTTTTCCGGATTTGCCAAAATGACCAACAAAATCGTAATGCGATCGCTAATTCGCAACGCGATCTCCATTATCGCAAATCAGTTTCCAGATTCGCAACGCGATTATGACTATCGCAATGCGATTTTTCAATTTCGTGTTGCGATTTTCCCAATTCGCAATGCGAATAAGTAAATCGCAACGCATATTGGAAAATCGCAATGTGATACTGATTATCGCAACGCGATAATACAAAATCGCAACGCGATACTACTTTCGCAACGCGATACTGACTTTCGCAACGAGATAATACATAATCGCAATGCGATTTTCAAAGCGCCATTAGTATCGCAACGCGTATTTTATTTTCAAATTCCAAACACAAATATTAATATATTGGAACACTGAACCTTCCACAGTATATCCCGTAATCGTAACTCATAATCTAAAACTTAAAATCATAACTCAGTCCCATCTCCATCTCTCACTCTCTCACCCATCTTCGACGAAATTTGTCCCCATCTCCGGCGAAATCCGTCTATCTCCATCTCTCAGACCCACCTTCACAATCAGAAATGGAAAATCAACCAAATCAACCACCGATAGTTAGTTTTTTTAATTATTTTCTTTTTGAAATTTTTGCATTATTATTAGGTTTTTCATATTGAAATTGATGATAAGTTTACTGGTAATTTCAATAATAGATTAATCATTTCACTTAGATTGCTTATTAAATCAACCGAGAATCGCAACGCGAAATGAAAATCGTAACGACAAAATCGCAACGTGATTTTATTCTCTCGTTGCGATTGTCATTTTCGTGTTGCGATTTTCATTTTCAGAAACTATTCTTCTTCTGCAAATTGAAACTTGAATGAATTGCATTACTTCAACCAAAAAACAAAGACAAATAAGAAATTCACAGTGTTGCAAATTTAAGTTTGAAGAATAAACTACTACTCTTTATGTTTATTATTATTTTTGGTATATCTTCACAGTGTAGTTTTTTGTATATCTAACTTAGTATGTTTATTGTTTTTGTAGAACTTTTATTCGGCTCAATTAACCTTAAGAAATAAAGTCAGCCTGGCCAAAACAATTGTGTCGAAGCTTTCACCTGCACAAAGAAAAATGTTTGAGGATACTTGCTTCGGGCCATGGCTGAAAGTACAACATCCCGGTGGAGATGCGATGTTGACACACCTGTTTCTTCAAACCATGACTAGCGATCTACCAGATACTATACAACGTCGTGATGAAGAGATATGATTTGATTTTCCACCGGCGTATACGTGTTTTGGGCGGGAGGAGTTTTGCTTAATCACCGGTCTACGCTTCGGACACGATGATGTAGGTCGGTATACTAGACACATTACCCGCCCATCATGGTTATCCCGTATTTTTCCTGAGCTGGAGAGGCCGAATCTACACGTGGAAGACCTGACGAGATTATTGAATAAGAAAGATGGTTTTACTCGGATGGATGACGTCGATGTTGTCCGAGTATGCCTTCTAATACTTTTGCATGCCGGCTTTTTAGGCATAGAGGCCAGACAACCTATTCTGAATGATCTAATCAAATTGGTAGAAGACCTAAATGCGTGGAACCTGTTTCCGTGGGGCTCGTATTTATGGAAAGCTACATGGAATAAGTTATCGTCTGCCTTGGATGATCGAAAAAGTTTGCATGGTGATGATTCCAAATACACTTTTACAGGCTTTATTTGGGCTTTTAAAGTAAGAATTTTTATATAATGTTTCCAAAATTATAAGTAATTATTTAACAATTACTAATGTTTGTTATTATATTGTTTGTAGATTTGGATATTTGAGGCCTTTCCCGCCATGAAGACATATGCAATAAAAACTTCAAATGATATTCCCAGGGCTATTTCCTGGAAGAGGAAACGGACATTGCAATGGGAAGATTTACTACGGTATACGACAATAAATAATGTAAGTTAACATAAATACTACCATATGTTTATAAACAAGTTATTACTAGTACACGTTTAACTTTGTTTGAGCTTTTATATTGTTAGGAGGCAAACACTCCATTACAGAGGCTGATACCCACGGAAGCTGAGCTTGCCACTGATTTGTGGCAAGCTAGTAAGCGTTTTTTTGATGGCACGAATGATGAGCAGCCTCCACTTCGGGAGCCATCACCTCACCCAGAGCTATCACCTCACCCAGAGCCATCACCTGATCGACCCGACTATACACCTCCACAACGACAGCCATCACCTATTCTGTCACACCAACGAGCCTCTTCTCCACCATCACTGCAAGATAGGCACCCGACAAAGATGCCCGACGTTTATCTCCCTGTTCTCCACCTCTACGGGATGAGTTAGGGGAGTTACGTGATAAGGTCAATTCCTTGCGTGAGAAGGTCGGTACTTTACGCAAAGACGATGGTGCATGGCGTGTTGAGGTGTCTACTTTACGCGGTGAGGTAGCCGCTCTACGTGAGTTGGTAGCATCGTTGCAGAATGAGGTTCATACTGTACGCAACGAGGTAAGTTTAAGATTTTTCATATTTAACTTGATGATAAATTTACTCGTAATTTCACTTAGATTAACCATTTCACTTAGATTGCTTAATAAATTCATTCGGTTGCTGTTAATACTACTAAATTGTTTTTGTTAGTATTTGTTTTTGGTTTTGTTTTTGTCTTTTGGTTGAAGTAATGCAATCCATTCAAGTTTCAATTTGAAGAAGAAGAATAGTTTACTTTCGCAACACGAAAATGACTATCGCAACGCGGGAATTGCTATCGCAATACGAAATGAAAATCGCAACGACAAAATCGCAATGCGAAATGAAAATCGCAACGCGAAATGAAAATCGCAATGCGATTTGTGTTTCGCGTTGCGATTTTCATTTCGCAATACGATTTTGTCGTTGCGATTTTCATTTCGCATTACGATTTTGTCGTTGCGAATTTCGCGTTGCGATAGCCATTTCCGCGTTGCGATAGTCTTTTTCGCGGTGCGAAAGTAAGTTTCATGTTGCGAAAGTAAACTATTCTTCTTCTAGAATGTTTATATATGTTGTCATTTTAAATGTTTATATATGTTGTCCTTTTAAATGTTTATATAAGTGCTTACTTCTGGAATGTTATCTGATGCATTTTGTGAACTATGATAGAATAATGACTTGTGCAAATACAATGCAAGTTTGAAACATATTTGTCTTTATTTAATATTATGTCTGTTTATTTACTGATTTATGTATTAATTTTTTTTAGCGGCCCGATAAGGTGGATGCTTTACGTCTGGTTTTCCTTGCACGACGGAGTTCACGCATTAGACGGCGTGCACGTGCTATTACGTCTCCGTTCACCCCAATGGTGCGAAGACTCCGCAAGAAGAATCCCGACTCACCTGTCATCCCTCAAGAGTTCCCTCCAATCGTTCAAGAGGCCACTATCATCCCTCAAGAGTCCCCCCCACCGTTCAAGAGGCCACTGTCATCGTTGAATATGTCCCTCCCACCTTTCCAGAGCCCGATTCACATGAGGTAATATATCGAATTATTGAGAAACCTTCACCGTTGCCGGACATGATGGATGAGAGTTGGCTCTCGTATGAGTTACCGGCTAGTACCCTTTCGGTATCTGAAGTGGAGATGAGACAACTACTGGAAATAATTCTAGATAATACCCTTTGGGCTAAGACCGCAGTTGATTTTTATCTACATGAGCGGAGTATAGGGTGTTACACTGACATAAGCAAACTCAACGATGAGATGTATTTGTTGCTTAATCGGTCTTGGTGTGATGTGTTATTAGGGGTTGAAGACAGTGGCTATTTTGATGGGGAGGTAAGTCTTATATTTGTCTTATATATGATTTTGATTAATTTTTTTTAAAAATTAATGTAATTCACTAATATATGTCTTTTTTTGTAAAACAGTATATCGATGTGTGGGTGTCACGTCTTCTAATAATAAGGAAGCTTAGGAAAAATAAAAAAAATTCACGATATACAATAATGTCGGCGGTTTTTCACGCAGTTCACTTGAAGAATCAATTTGTTTTTGTTAGTATTTGTTTTTGGTTTTGTTTTTGTCTTTTGGTTGAAGTAATGCAATCCATTCAAGTTTCAATTTGCAGAAGAAGAATAGTTTACTTTCGCAACACGAAAATGACTATCGCAACGCGAAAATGGCTATCGCAATGCGATTTATGTTTCGCGTTGCGATTTTGTCGTTGTGATTTTCATTTCGCATTGCGATTTTGTCGTTGCGAATTTCATTTCGCATTGCGAATTTCATTTCGCGTTGCGATAGCCATTTCCGCATTGCGATAGTCATTTTCGCGTTGCGAAAGTAAGTTTCGTGTTGCGAAAGTAAACTATTCTTCTTCTGGAATGTTTATATATGTTGTCCTTTTAAATGTTTATATAAGTGCTTACTTGTGGAATGTTATCTGATGCATTTTGTGAACTATGATAGAATAATGACTTGGGTGAATACAATGCAAGTTTGAAACATATTTGTCTTTGTTTAATATCATGTCTGTTTATTTACTGATTTATGTATTAATTTTTTTAGCGGCCCGATAA